TGGTTTGATTTCCTTATCTGCAATCCCTATTAAAATCTCAGTGGCATTCAGCATAGAACTAGAAAAAAATAATTGTAAATTTAACATAGAATCACAAAAAAAAGAATGGAAGAGGAAAGACTAGATTACTTGATTTCAAAGCAGTGCAAAGTTATTGTACTTTGCCAAAGTTAAACAGACAGTTCGATGGAAGAGAGAGGTAGAAAGAAACACAGAGCTTGGCAGGCAACTAATTTCCAACAAAGGTGCTAAGCACATGCATTAGAGAAAAGAAAGTCTTTTCAACAGTGCTGGGAAAATTGATTATCCACATGCATAAAAATGAAGCTAGACATCTATGTCATAAATCAGCTCAAAATGTGAAAATGGTAGAAGAAAACATATAGGAAATGCTTAGAACACAGAGGAAATGCTTACATGGTTGGAATGGACAAGGATTCTTTTTTTAAAGAAAAGATCCCAAAGACATCAGGAAAAAAAGCCAAAATAGAGGAATGGAATTTTATCAACCTTAAAAGCTTCTGCACAGTAGTAAAAATGATCAACCATGCACACAGACAATCTACAGAATGGAAGAAAATATTTGTAATATATACAACTGGTATCAGAATTATATCAAAATCAGATACGGAAACCAAACCATGGGGCTCTATCTTTGATCAACCTAGATGCAGAGATTCTCAGCAAAATTTTAAATCCAATAGGACATGATGGAAATGCCTGGCAGAGGAAAACAGCTTATCTCATGGCAGCCAGGAAGCAAGCAGGAAGGAGCCAAGGTTATGAATATATTCTTCAAGTCATGCCCCAGCAACCACCCCCTCTGACCAGGTACCACCTCCTGACAACTCATTCAGCTCTGATGTCAACAGTGGATATCCACAGATGAACACAGCTTCTCCACAATCCACTTACCCTAGCAAAGACCAACCTCTGAACAGATGAGGCTTTTGAGGGGCCTTCTAGTTCTAAAACATCACATTAACAGTTGACACTTTAAAAAATTGTGGATAGAAACAATCTCCACTAAGGATTTAAGTGGCTACTTTAATAGTTTTCTGGGTGTCCCATGTTTTACATATATTGATGCTAAGCACACTGTATGAGAAAGGCATTATTCCCCAGTGTTCCAAGCTGGACATAAATCTCAGAGATTAAAGTTTATCTGATTGCAGATGTAATTGCCAAACCATGTTGCTGCTGAGTGCTTTCAGATAACACAGGCCAGGGTAGGTTGACACTGGGGAGAAGAAACTGAAAGAACTTGAACACACAGATGACCGTAAAATAAAACTGGCTGACAAGGGAGATTCTATCATAAGAGATCTTATGATTTTTTTGACTCCATTAGGAATTACATGCTGGCTGCTGGTTAAAGCTGCTGACTACAGCAGCTTGAAGGAATTAGAAGTATATTCTCTTACCTAAATGAAGTCTGGCCTGCAGGGAGTCTAGGGTTGCTAGGCAACTCCTCAGAGTCATAAAGGCCTGAGGCTTTTTCCATCTTTCTTTACCATTCTGTGTGTGTATGAAGTCAGTCAAGCCAAGAAATTGCTGCTGGGCTCAAGTCATCAAAGGTACATTTCAAATAGAGAGGAGGGAAGGAAAAAGGGGCACAAGTGGCTTCCACAGAAACCCTACTCAATTAACTTTTACTTGTGTCTCTGGTTGCCTCATGTGCAGAGCCTGGGAACCTTGAGTTCCTTATTTGGTTTACTGTCCAGCATTCTGGTGTTAAGAGAGATGTAGTATAAATCATAATGTCTGAAACTATAATTACAAAATTTGAATACATTGACAATCATCTGAGATTGAAGAAAGTGACAGTGAACAGCTGGTGTGTAGAGTCTGGGGAGAGTCTCAGGAACAAAATTGGCCAATAGTAGGGACAGCTAGGGAGAGGAGACACCGAAGGTTCTAACCTGACTGAAGTTGAGAGGAGTGTGACACTGACTTTTCTAAGGAGAAAAAGTAGATTTGGGGGTGTTATCAAATCCACTTATGACACACTAACTTTGAGGCACCAGTGAATATTTGCCCAGCATAAAATAATTTTGCCACTCGTTGTTTATTCAAACTATAGTCATGGGGAAAATGTCATGAAAACATGTTTTGAGCTTCTTAACTAGAAATACAGGTTGTTTTGGACTAGTTGTTCGTTTTATACAAATCCATCTTCAGCAAGTAATATCTAGTGCCTGGAATTTTTTAAAAAACAAATCGTTTTCCAGACATAACACTACTGCAACACAGGATAACACTGATAACTAGCCCAAAACCCAAAATATAAAGAAAGAGCAAGTAAAAGATATAAAATAGGAAATAGGGCGATAGGTCTTTTGCAAAAGGGAAGGGAACTAAGAGACACTGTGACAGGGTGAAACAGAAGGGAATGAAAAAGAGTTAAAATATGTTATGTACACCCACCAAGTCCCAGAGAAATAGGATTACTATGTACCACAAAAAATAAAAACTGAAAAATAAAGTAGGGTTCTACTGGGGATATAGCTAGGAGTAAGGCATGTCGTTAGTTTGCTGGAGACTGTGGGTTCCACCCCAGTGTATGTACAAATACACACACATTACTGGAGTTTCGCTATTCAGGGGAAATTGTCTTTAGAAAGATCAAAGTAGTCAGTATTGCTATGCAGTACTAGGAAACACAATTCTCATGGGTTTATTGTTACTTTGAAAGTATGTTACTCTGAAGGAGGGGGGGATTGAGTGTAACTAAGTGAGCAACAGTTTGCCACCAAGTGCCTCAGAAAAAGAGTTGTTGATGCCTTTATCATCGAGATGAAGAAACATTTTAGATATGTATTATATCACTTAATCCCACATAATACCCTATGAGATCTTAGCAGGCCCATTTTATAGAAAAGGAAATGCGACACAAAGAGATGAAATAGCCTCAGTGATGTTGGAGCCCTTGAAGCTGAATACAGGTGCAGGGCTGTGGCATGGCCCATGAATGGCGGAACTGAGAATGAGGAGGTGCCGCAGTGGGCAAGATAGGCCACAGCTGAGGCTACCTGGAAACTTTCTCCTAGGTTAATTTTCCTTGACCAGCACCATCTGTTTCTCTGAGGGGGTCCTTGAACCTCTCCCAAGGTCCTGCTCAGGTTTCCTGTGTTTTCCACTCAACCTTTTCCTTGTTTTGAATAAATATGGGTCGCCCAGAGACAGTCTGTCTCAGCTACCAGGGTTACGAACTCTATGGAGGATTTTGGTCTTCCTGGAGTCCTAAACATCATGCCACTTGTCTCATTCATTTGGGCCTTCAGTGTGCAGTCGTTTGGGGGATTGGGGATATAGGCACAGACTCCAACAAAGTGACATGCTTAGTGAGATCAAATTTTTAAAAAATTTTAAAGAGAAAAAAATTGCAAAACAAGATAATAAGAGACTAACAACAGTTAATACATTGCATAGTTATCTTTAAATTATCTATTCAGAGTACTAGATACAGGCATTTAATTGTACAAGCAATATTAGTATAATCCTTTCTTTTCAATGAACTAAGAGAAATGAGTAACTATCATATATACGATAGTATATATATATATATATATAATATATATATATATGTATTTTTTGCTTTTCCTTTCTTCCTTTTCTCCTTTGCCCATCCCAGTTTCTCTTTCCTTTTGAACATTTTCTTACCATTTTACAATATCTATTGCACATTTTGGATCTTATCTACTCTTCCAGTTTCTCACACTAGGGAGATAATATGACGTTTACACATGTAAGTCTGGATTATTTGAAGTATGAGTATGGTCTTGAGTGGCATTCAATTACCTATAAAAGTCTCAAGTTTATCTTCCTTTATGGCTGATTAGTACTCCGTTGTTTAAAAAGAGCACATCTTTTTCAATTCCTTGATTGGCATTTGGATTATTTCCAAGATCTAGCTATTACATGTTGTTATAAACATGGCTGCACATATATGATGTTTTAAATTCTTTTGGGAAGATATCCAGCAGGTAAATAGTTGGGTCAAATGGTACCTCCAATATCAGTTTTTTGAGGAATCTCCACACTGATCTTCACAGTGGTTGCACCAGTCTACACTCCCACCAACAGTGGAGAACCATTCCCCAGAGATCCCTACCTCTAGCATTGTTATTGATTTCTTGCTAACAGCCATTTTTTTCTGGGGTGAGATAGAATCTGTGTTCTAATTTGCATCTCTGGAATGATTAGTGATGTTGAACATTTTTTCATGTATTGCTGCTTATATTTCATCTAAGAAGTGTGTATTCATCTCAGATGTCCATTTTTGGATTGGGTCTCTAAATGAGTGGTCTGAGTTTTTTGAGTGCTTTATATAGTGAACTGGAATATTAACGATAGAAACCCTGGCTTTAGAGTTTTTTTTTTTTTTTTTTTTTACCCACTGAACTATGCTTATTAAATATATGAAGTGCTAACTTTAACTGGATTAATTCTGAAAGTCTGGAAAGAAATTTACCAGTGGAAATCTATGCCCTTATTTTGGGTGCTAGTTTCAGCTAGATGAGATTTCATATTTCTGTAAATACAATAACGTGATTTGCATCTCTGAAGAACATCTTAGGTGGTCAAGATCTAGCTCTGTGACTCAGGCTTTGAGTCATGCAGGGCAAGTCAGACTTTGAACCCCACTGCCTCTTGGTGTAAAGGCCTTGCATATTAAGCAGGTAAGTAATGGTGTCACCTGAAAAGTGGTGTTAGAATTAGCGAGTGCTGAAAGTGTTTAACAGAATCAAATTATCACTTAGTCGTAATTATGCTTTCAGTAGACTTTTTTGGTCTCTAATTCAGCCAATTTAAACCCCACTGTGTGACTAAAATCCGAGAGGCTGAGAAAGGAGCTGCAATGAGCGTCCTCCAGCAACTCCTGCGATTACCCTCCCCGACCCCGCAGTGGGTGTCGCTAGGATAAAGGGCCATGAGGCAGGCACGTTTTCTCCCAGAGCTTCAGTCGCGGGAAACAGGACAAACACTGACCCGTACTCCAAAACAGCTCCTAGACTGGAAAGAGCTCTAAGCGCTCTTGACCGGAGGAAACAGGGACGCGGATACAAGGCGCAAAAGGCGACAGAAAAAGGAGTGGGGAGCCGTGCTAGCGACTCAGTCAGTGGCCCCCAACCTAACCCAGGCGAATATGTGCAAAGACGGAGGGGACTTGGCATCTTCTCCTCCCGCCTGAAGCGGTCACTGAGAGCCGAGCAGCGGTCCCTAAAGCGCGTCCCAAACTCCTTTCAATGTAGACACGCCCCTTTCACCTTGACCACGCCCTCGGAACGTTCGTTGCACAGATAGTAACGCGAGAATTCTACTTGCCACCCTACGACGTGTTCACTGGTGATAGTCGCTTTTGTTCTCGCGATACTTCCGTGTACTCGGGAACCGGGCGGCCCGGGCTCCTGTGAAATATGGCGGCCGGCTGGTACCGTAACACAAGGTAAGATACTGAAAAGCCGCTGGTCTCTGTTCCTCGGCTGCTTAGGGTTACCCGCGGCGTGAATGTGGTTGAGAGGCTGGTGTTGGCTTGGCTTCCCCGCCTTCTCGCCTCCTGGGGAGCCACTCCTCCCGGGGGCGTTCCTGGCCGAACCCTGGGCAGCGCTGGGGCCGGCGCTCCTCACTGGGTTCAGGAGTGTCCCAGCTGTCCTACGGCCCGAAGTCCTCCACGGCTTCCTCGACAGCGCCTGCACCCTGGCTCCTGCCTCTTGCCTCTCACGGTGCCCGGGGGCGGCTCCTGGCCGCAGGCAGGTGGTGTCCCGCTCCTCCCGGCGCCTGGCCCCTGCTTAACTCACAGACTCACTCACCCGGCTGCAAGGTGCTCTCTGTGGGAAGGGATAGGGCTCGGCCCAGTATGCGCGCGCGGGAGAGGGCGCAGGAGAGCTGCCGGGCCACGCGAGGTGCGCGCTGCGCTGGCCCCGGGGTCCTTGCCCTTCTCGCGTTGAAAATCTTTCGGAGGTCGCTTGCGCGCCCGCAAGGAAGGGAGCGGTGGGCATCCGGGGCGTGTAGAGTTGGTAGATCTTTGCTGTGGAAAACACATACCCGTAACTTTTGAGCATCTAGTGTCCTCGAGACTGGAGCCAAAGTAACATCTGTTAAAATGCTGCAAGACTGGTTTCAAAAGCAAGATACAGTCAAAACACTTCAGTGAAGTTTAGTTCCATTATTTCAATTAATTGCGTGACCTGATGTCTGGAACTCGGATACGGACATAAAGAAATGAGCCTGGCTGGTTCGCTGAAATTAATGTAATTATTCCCGTTCGCTTAAAGGAGAAACAAATTTCCTGTTTTTGTGGGTGGGGAGTGGATGGGAAAAGGAAAAAGTTTCTCTTTTTGATAGTAAATTTTAATACACTGCTGAGCATTGTAATGCTGTATCTAGTTTGTAAGCGCTCTCAGTGAGACAAAGAATTAGGAAAAACTTTCCAGGAATTTCTTTTCTCTGGGGGTTAGTAATTTTAATGGAAGACAAAAATGAAGTTCATTTAAAATAGAAGTTACTTTCAGTTAGGCGTGATGGCACATACTTGTATTCCCAGTATCCTGGGAGGCTGAGGCAGGAGGATCACAAGTTTGGGCGATGTAATTCCAAACTTAGCCGGGCTCTATCACAGAATAAAAATTAAAAAGGACTGGGGGTGTGGGGCTGGCGATGTAGTGAGTGTGAAAGCCCTGGGTTCAGTCTTCAATACAGAAAAAAGTTATTTTATCTGTTTCTTCAATAACTTTTATTTGATCATTTTCCAGCACTTATCTTAATTCTCTAACCTCTCTTGCTTTAGTTTCCTCATCAGTAAAATGGCAATGATACACTAACATGTGACTCATAATGAAGTTGTGGAATTAAATTAAAACATACAAAGCATTAAGAACAGTACCATATCTGTTTTCCATACAGTCAGAACTTAGCTTGCTACTTATTTTTAAAGTTTTTGTTTTCTGACTTCCTAGTTGTAAATGTTACCTTGATACTTAGTCAAAATATGGACTGAAAAGATACTTTCTTTCTAACCTGAATGGAGTAAACTTCTTCAGAGCCTGTGGTTAATATGTTGTTACTCTTGGCTTCCAATTGCTGTTACTATGTCTGTCTTACTATAACCTAAATTCTTCTTTAATACCTCTTCCTGTAGTCTTGCTGCTGTGGAAGTCAGTCCTATGCCTCTGGGTTTCCAAGTAAGCCACAATCTTGCTTTTATGATCATCCGTTCTATTGTATGTGTCACTGACCTTTTTTCCTCATGCTTATGTTCCTTATACTTTAATGTTAAGCACTTTTTTTGATTAGCTGCTATAGTCAAGTCATTCTTTGAGGACTTAAACCTATCCTTGCTTCAGTCGTTCTACCAGACATTTACGTATTTTTTTTTCTTTTTTGCTGTGACTATAGTCTCTTTCTTAATTTTCATTGTTTCATAGAATATGCTTCCTTCCTCTGTGAGATTATCAATTAACCTCAGATACGTTACCACTAAATCTTAAGTACCTTACAAATCTGCCTTTCTTGAAATGAGACAAGTATTTACTAATTTATTAAATTAGAAAATAAATATTTAGTAAATGGAAATTTCATTTTTATACTCATTAAAAACTATGAGGTAGGCATTATTTTCTCCTCTCCCCATTTAAAATAAAATTACATAAGGGATCTTGAGAAGTTGAGAATCTTTCCAAATTTGTTACATAACTGATAAGAGCCTCAATAATCCAGTTTTTTTCTAATGACAGCACTCAATGTTTATACCATCTCACTTGATTTCCAAATAAACATTTTTATCCCTGAAAAAAGTTACTAGGTTTATTTGAATTATTTTGGGGCAAATAACTTTTCAAACACAATATTTAACTCTTAGGAAAAGGGCCAAATTTTAAACTAACATAGTTAAGTACTTTTGTGCGTGCGCGTGCCTCTGTGTGTGTGTGTGTGTGTGTGTGTGTGTGTGTGTGTGTGTGTGTGTGTATTTTCAGGGTTTATTAAGTGAGACTGAGGTGTTTTTGTGTAGCTTTATGTCTTTTTGGGATGGTGTGGGACAAGATCTCCCAGTGTAGTCGAGGCTGTCCTTGAACTCACGTTGTAGTCCAGCCTGCCCTCAAATTCATGGTGATCCTCCTGTTTGAGCTTCCTGAGTGCTGAGATTATATGTGTGTGCTGCTACCACAGCTGGCTCATAAAACAAAGTGGTTTTCATTGTAGTATTCTAATGCTGCATAATTAAGTAATTTATATTTATAGATAGCTGTGGTTTTACTTTTATTTCTGTAGTTTAGCGATTCCCTGAATAGTATTTATCTCCTTACTCATTCTAATTAATGGAATATATTAGTTTCCTGCAGCTGCCTTAACAAATACCATAACTGGGAGCTTAAAACAACAGACATTTATACTGTCACACTATTGGAAACTGAAAAGTCCAAAACCAAGTGGTGGTGGGCCATACTCACTTTGGAGGCTCTATAAAGAGTCCTTTGCCTCTTCCTAGCTCCTTGGCAGTTCTGTAGACGCGTCTAACCTCTGTCTTCATTGTGGCTTTACCCTGTGCTTCACGTGGTCATCTTTCGGGGTTCTAGTCGTTAGACTTTGTATCATCCTAACCCATGATTGCATCTGAATTGATCTGCAAACACCATGATATTTCTGAAGAAGGCCCACTCACAGAGGCCAGGGGTTAGGACTTCATATCTTTGTGGGAACACAGTTATACCCACAACATGGCCATATGTGTTCACCAATTAAATATTTCTCATTACCAAATATATATTATAAGTAGAAATTGACTGATAAAACTTGGGTGATGGATAAATTATCTCTTGTTGGTTTTAAACTGAATTGAGCAGATTGTAAAAGGTTCATGAATTCTCAAATTTTAGTAAAGCATCAGGTAGTCTCATTCAGATGAAAACAGTGACAAGATACCAGTGACATTACTTATATCACTGGTGTCTGTATTCCTCCCATGTGGAGGGGGGGGAGTTTCTTATTTCTTACAAAGTTATTCAAAGTGTTCCCTTGGCCACTTGTTCCCCAGTGACTTCCTGGGCAGTTTGGGCTGACAGTAAAGAAACAGATGTGCTAGTGATTGTCAAGGTATAAGTAGCAGCACCAACCAGCTGACAAAGTTTTTGATTGTGTAGATCAGTCTAAAAAAGTATATAGGAAAAAATAAACAACAGGAAGGCCCTGAGTTTAAGGGCTAACACAGAATTATAGTTTTTGATTTTGTTACAAGGATATCTAAAAACAGCACTGAAAAACCTCGATTATTAAAAACCTGTTATTTTTGTCGTCTCATAAAGGAAAGAACATTTTGATGCAAATAAGAAAGAAATAATCTCAGGATAGAAGACGGATTTTTAAATTGGTAAGTTTTTAAAAAAGTTTTTCCACTGTACTCACTGTTCTCATCTATGTAGAGATAGAAAACTGTGGTGGTATCTTTTGGGGAACACTGTACTTTTTTAAAAAAAAAATTGCTGACCAAGAAGCAGAGAAGCAAACGGTGTGGGAGCAATGGAATGGGCTAACTGGGAGGGGTCTAAGGTTTGAGAAGCCTGGTGAACTCGAAGAGCTTAAAGGGTAGTTGTTTCAGTATGGAGAAAGAAGAAAATGGTGTTTTGGGTTTTTGATGTGCAGAGATTATTGAGAGATAAGAGGAGCCAAGACAGTCCTTTTCTGTGAGTACAGAATTGAGATGAAGGTTCGTGGAGCAGAAAAACTGTTAAGCTTATGTGATAGAAAGATTTTATTGTGAGTGAATTCCATGGGATTGTGAATTCAAAGGACGCTTTTAGAACAGGAGAGGAGGAATGTGTAAGTGTTAATACATAAGTGCTGAAGCAATTAAAGAAATTACAGTACAGCTGAATGTCAGTAGAAGGTGGCAGCAGGTCCTGAACTGAAATTCAGTGTGTACTGTGCTTTGATTTTTAAATAAATTCGCATAGTCTGCATAGGTTTTTGGATTCAGCCTACTTGGGATCAAATCCAGGTTTCACCACCAGCTCTGTGCCCCTGAGGAAAATTGTTTGACTGTTTCATGCCTTGTTTCCTCATCTCTTTCTCTCTCACCCTTTTTTGTTTGTTTGTTTGTTTTGAGACACAACAGTTAGAAGTACAGCTAACTTTCACGTATGAGTCAAAGAATTACATGTTTTGAGACAGCATTTTGCTATGTACTTCAGGCTGGCCTTGATCTTTGTCTCTGGTTTGGCCTCGAACTCTTTGCAATCCTCCTGCCTCAGCCTTCTGAGTACTGGGATTATGGGTGTGCAACACCATACCTGTCTCCTTGTCTCTACTTAGGATTAAAAATAGTATGTGCTTCATAAAATGCAAAGTGAGTTAATACATGATGGCTACGCATAATGGTGTATACCTGTAATCCCTGCATTCAGGAGACTGAGACAGGACAATTGCCATGAGATCAGCCTGGGCTACATAGATCAAGGCCAGCCTGAACTACATAGCAAGACCCTGTCTCAAAAAATAAAATTCTTTGAATCAGACATGAAAGTTAGTTGTACTTCTGTGTTGTGTCTGTGTGTTAACTATTAATAACATTAGATACACTCGAGCAGGGAAGAGATGCTGAGAAATATGATAAAACATACTGTCTTTTTACCATGTGAGTCTGAGAAATAGAGTCAGAATTGGAAAGGAATTTCCACTGGAGGTCAGGTTTCATAGGTAGAGGGATTGCTTTTAGAAACACTAGATGTTATTGAATGACATATCTAAATGGTGGCTTTATAGATTAGTAAGTCTTAGAATGAATTTCTTGGATGTTAGTGAGTTTTTAGGAATGGGACAGGAAGGTTATTTGCCGTAGGTGCCCAGTTGTGGGATAAGAATGAAGGAAGTGGGCTTCTAAACAGGAGTGCCACAGAAGTTGTGTGCAGTCTTAGAACACTGGTAGTGAACCTTTGGCATTAGTTTTTCTTTGTGACAAAAGTTGTTAATTTGTGAGTTGTTTTTTCCAAACTAAAACCTCAATGTCCAGGTATAATTGCAATGTTGACACTTTGCAATAAATCAGTGGGTTTTGGGTTGCATTTTTGGGACTTGTCTCTAAAAGATTTGCCATCACTGTAAGAGTATTTATAAAAGCTAGTTAGCTACTGACCATATTTTTATGCTTATATATAATTTAAAAGAAAGCACTTACAGGGCCAAGGATATAGCTCAGTGACATAAGCACCTACCTGGCAAGTGCAAGGTTGTGTGTGTTAGATCTTTGGTACCAAAAAGAAAAACGAATTTATGCAGTTTATGAAAATGCAACATTTTAGAAACTTTTGAAAGAAGAACCATTTTCTGTGTTTGCTGAATAGTGCGGTAGAAACTGAGATTTATATTTGCTGAACTGTTTTATACATTTGCCAAACTGTGCTGTAAAAACACTGTTTTCAAGCCATTGTTTTAGGTGCTGTGATTACTGTAATGAGCAAAACAGGAAAACCTGCCTCCCTCATGAATCTTACATGGTATATATTTACCCACATGTGACACTTTGTTGTGATTTGAAATCTGTGCTACTGTGTGTGTTTCATGGAGAGATTTTCTTCCTTCCCTCAACAAACATGTACTGGATACCTTTGTGACAGGCATTGAAATTACAGAAATCCAACCAGAAATGATTCCTTCCCTAACAAACCAGAGAAAAAGGAAATGAAACCAGCAGTTACAGGCAGTGTAAGAAGGGTTCAGTGTTTAGATCACGTAGATTAGGGGGTGACAAAGCATTTCTTTTCTCAAGACAGAGATGAGTATACTGGGACTGGAAGAGAACATAGAACTAGGTAAATAAGAAGTGGGCGTGGGGATATAGACCATCTCTGGCATAGATAGCAACATATTTAAAGAATTTAAAGTGATTTGTGGCTGGAACTTAAACTGAGGCAGTGAGTTTAAAGGAAAGTAACAGAACTTGGACTTGAAGGACTTTAAAAAACATGCTATATTACAGTTGGTATTTATAAGTGCAATGGGATTTATATTCAAGGAGTTTTAGAAAAATAACAAGATTTCTGTATTAAAAAGATAATTCATAGGAACATGGAGAACAGATCAAGAGTTTAGGGCGAGAAATTTTTGAAACATGTAGTTGTAGATTTTGGCAGTTGAGCCTATGATCTGGTCAAAGGTTTTTCTTTAGATGATTAGGAAGAGAGGACTGTTTGAGAGAAATTTAGGAAAAGTGTAAGTATAAGGTTATAACTCCTGTTTGTGACTTTTGCAGCTTGGCGCATGGTTTTAATTATTAAAATAGGGGATACAGGAGGAGGAACAATTATTAATTAATAGGGTGAAATTCTCCTCTTGAGGACTGGGTGAATCTGAACCTTTGAAATGTTCTGGGGATATAGGACAAGAGATAGTTTGAATAGGGTGAAATACTGCCTTTTGATTTTGTTGAGTCTGAATCATCTTTGAAATGTTTAATTGAAAATGGAAACAAAGAAATGGAAGTGTATCTGTGGTGAGGTTTTGGCTGACAATAAAAGAAAGCCAAAGGAATGGGAAAAACTGGGGAGTGGAGGTTAGGAGTACAGAGCCTGAGAGGGGCAGGTAAGTTGCAAAGTGAGATAGTCTTAGAGGAGAATAAAAATCAGGAGTGTTGTACAGGTTGAGCATCCCTTATCCACAGTGCTTTGAACTGGAAGTGTTTCGGGTGTTACAGTTTTTTAATTTTGGAGTACTTGAATTAACTACCAGCTGAGCGACTACAGTGTTAAAATTATAAAAATAGGAGAATTCAATTATCATTTGTTTGACCTTTTTTTTTCCACTCTCCTGTACTGAGGATTGAACCCAAGACCTTCATGCTGAGCTACATCTCTAGTCCTTTTTATTTTTTTATTTTGAGGAAGAGTCTAAGTTGCTAATTTGCCTCGCTGGACTTGAACTTATTATAACAACCTCCTGCTTCAGTTCCCAGAGTGCTGGACTAAGTTACATGTTGTCTGACATTTTAGATGAGTTGGCTTACTGATCTAAAAGGATAACAATTAATTTTAAAAAATATTTTATTATAAAAATAGATAATTTGCAAGGGCCAAAATAACGTAAAACTTAAATTTTCCCATGGTCTACTTTGGCTATTTTTGTATATAAAATTGTTTGTTTCTTGTACATCTTTCCTTGTTTGCCATAGAATTAGTGGCATAAGGCCTTTGAATCTTAATGTGTCATGAGTATTTTCTTATGTCATTAAATAATTAATATGATTTTCATTGGTTACACAGATTAATACCTGTCATTTTACCACAATTTGAATGTTTGATACCTTACATTTCTTTGTATCTTCAGTATTTTAAAAAACGTAATACTATTGGTACAGCCCTCATCATTAAATTTTTGTTCATGATCCAGATTATTGCCTTAAGGTACATGTCTAGAGAAGAATTTACTTAGTCAAAAGACAAATGGTGCACATTTATATCATGGTTAGCAATATATGAGGTTGCCTATTTTATTTCATCATTATCCATTACTGAAAATTATTCTTTTTATATATTTGTCAGTATATATTTATATATTTAATAAAAAATAATTTGAAATTTCAGTTTATACCTTTAAATATTACAAATGCTCAAATTATTTTAGACCTAGTTGTTTTGCTGTTCAGTGTGTCTGTGTGTGGAAGTTGCCTTTCACTGCTCGCTTTGTCGGGGTGCAGAAGGGGAAAGGAACGGTATGGGTGAGGGCTGTGCCTTCAGAAGGGAGGGGAACACTGATGTGCTGTAAAGCAGTTTGTCAGTTATCAGAGTTCACTCATTCGTTACCTTATTTCTTAGCATGACTATATGAAGGAAGAGGAAGGTTTTCCTGAAGATGAGGCGACTGAATCGGAAGAAAACCTTAAATTTGGTGAAAGAGTTGGATGCCTTTCCAAAGGTTCCTCAGAGCTATGTGGAGACTTCAGCCAGTGGGGGTACAGGTGAGTTGTAGTTCAAATTAAAATCCCCACAGTAAGTGCAGCTTCCAAGTGTGCAGAAATGTAGAATACACAACCCTAGCATGAGGGAGAACCCACAGTGACCCGCTCACTAATTTTGTAGTCTGTCTGTCCTTGTGTCACTATTTGCTCTGATTTTATTACTTATATTCTATATATAGCATCCAACCCAGTGCCACTTGTGCACTTGTAGTGTTTATTGTGATGTTAACCAGTTTATGCGGTTTTACCGCTTTGGTACTCTTTGTCTATATGAAGTCAGAGTAACAAGATTTTTATGTACAAATGGAGTTAAAGTTCAAAGTTATGAAATGATGCTGATATTAACTCTTTACTGTTTTGGTTAACAATAAATCATTGTAAACATTATTTAAAATTTCCTGAATTTCACATTATTTTTGAGAGGCAGTGTAATAGTGAAGAATTTAGACTTTAAATGCAGACTTCGGACTGTCTGAATTCACATCTCACCTTTACCCCTTCTTGTGAGGAAGAAGTTACTCAAATCAGTCTCTGCCTTTCTGTCTTCCATGAAGTAAGGATTTTAGTATTTACTTTCTAGAGTTACTAAGTCAATTAAGTAAATTATTATGTAAAATCTTTAAAGTGGTGTTTTGTACAAATGGGAGTATTTGTTAAATAAAATTAGGAAAATACTGTTTTTCCTTTCCCCATGAAGAGCTAATAAAATAAAATTTCACCAGAAGTCTACATTTTTATTGGATAAAATTCTTGCTATTTCTAATCCCTGTAGTTAAGTTTCTTAATGAAAATAGTACAGGTTTTTGTGCAACCCATGTTAAGTGTATGTTCTCATATTATTCTTGTCTAGTCTTACTCAGATTGGCAAATATATTAGTGAAAGACCTCTAAAATTGAAAAAATAAAATGCTTTTTTAACTTACAAATATGAACGCAAACATTTATGTTCACTGAATTTTTCATTTTGATCTGTTTTAGGAAAAATATATAACGTATTTTGTAGAAAAACCTTTTATAGTATTCAAATGGCAGTCCTTAGACACTTTTTGCTTGCTATAATCTCACTTGAAAATTTTTCCTCTTCATCTTTTTTGTTTGTTTTAATTGTTGTTGTGTTTCTCAGTTTCTCTAATAGCATTTACCACTATGGCTTTATTAACAATAATGGAATTCTCAGTGTATCAAGACACATGGATGAAGTATGAATATGAAGTAGACAAGGATTTTTCTAGGTAACATTATTTCCTTCTGAAAATACTTTCAGATTCAAGTTGTTTTGAAAATAACATACCTTTAAAAAAAGTCTGCCCATTTATATTTGGTTTATCTTGGATTTGAAGAAATAGTCCTTTTAAGTGTCTCTTTAACCACATGCATAAGGTGAAACATTTTAGAATCACTTAAAGTCTGGTAAAATTCTAAAACAGGGTCTCTAATTTAGTATGCACTTTTAAAAAATGACTTAAGAAAATGTGTTTTTCTTAACTGTATGTGTATAAAATTGTTTAAAACCACTTATTCAAGATTTAGAAATACCTTTCTGATCTTTGTGCGGAATATACATAGTCTAAAGATATATTACATAGACTTATAACTTGATTTTTATAAACTATATCTGAGTTAAATTTTGATATAAGTAGTTTCACATCTAAACTTTGGAAAATGAAGTATTTTAGGAGATAAGATCTACTTTACATTTACTCATTTATTGGAATTTTTTAATGGATGGCAGATAAGGTCATAATATTAAAATTGCAGTAGATAGGAAGAAATACTTCTTGATTAAAATTTTAGTTCTTCAGTTTAGTAACTACTGACTTTTGGGAAGTTACTGATTTTTTTTTTTTTAAACTGGGACTCCAGCTCATGACCTCACCCTTGCCAGGCAGGTGCTGTGCTGCTGAGACAGACCCCTGGCCCAAGTTGCTGAATTTTAACTGAGTGTGTTTCAGTTTCCTGTTTTGTAAAATGTAATAACACTCTCTTTCTTGTGGTGTTCATGATAAATTGGCTCATATTTGTAAATTTCTGGATAGCTATGAATAAAACATAGCTTTTTTCTTTTTTTTTTTGGTCTTTTTCATTTTTATCGGTACCAGGGATCGAACTCACGACCGCCTGCTTGCAAGGCAGGTGCTTATGCCGCTGAGCTAAACCTCCTGCCCCCAGTTGACTTCTTTCAAGCTGCAGTCTCTGCATCTTCTTATGAGTATTATTCTAGGTACCATTAGACTTCAAAGAATTCATTGTTCTTATTCTTAATTGTTTTTTAGCCCCAGTAAAGTACATTTTATTTTTTCTCAATGCAGTGTTAGATAGTTCGTGTGGTGGGACATCCAGAAGCCCTCTTGACCTCCTACTAGCTAGTTCATATAGCACTTCCTGAACCTAACTCCCAGGGTCATTTGGAGCAAGTTTGAACTCTGGATAATTTTAATACTCTCTGAAGCTATAACAATTTGTAATTCCTTTTTGGACTCAGATGAAAATTATAGAAGTGAAACAAGTTTTAGTAGGAAATGTGCGCCTCAGTTTAATGTCCTTATTCTACTGCTTATAATGTGTAATTCTGGTTATTTGAAAATTAATTTTATTTGAACTAAGCATTTGAAAATAAAAGATTGGTCGAATCTTTTTAAAAGGCGATGCAAAATTGAAGCAACAGATTTCCTTTTTTATAATGTGCTTGTATTTACTGAGTTACACAGCTTCAGTTTCCTGTGTGTCACGTTAGTGATTGAATAGTTTTCATCAAGCATTTCGTCAAGCTTTGTGGATTACTTGAAAAACCAAAGCCTTGCATCTTATGGCTACATGATAGAAAGAAGCTAGTATTAGTAAGACATGTAGCATAATGACATTAGTGATGGTAGAAGAGAAAAACGTGTAATTCCTAATTCTTGGTTTTGAAAGTTTTACATGCTGAAGGGAGCATCTTCCATCTTAGAATACAGATCTAAGGGAGGCTCTGTCCAAATGTTATGTAAATAAGTTAAGATTTTTTTCTGAGTTGCCCAGTGCTGTTTGTCTCGGAGTTACTGTTATGAAATTAAAAGGTGCTGTGTTAAAAATCTGAGATCATGGGCTAGGGATTTAGCTCAGTGGCATAAGCGCCCTGCCTGGTAAGTGCAAGGTCATGAGTTCGATCCCTGGTACCAAAAAAAAAACAAAAAAAAACAAAACAAAACAACAACAATAAAAATCTGAAATCAGAAAGGTTTTTGGAATAATCACAAAATGAAACTTCTGTACTTTTGTTTTAGCTGTAAGACTTGCAATCCACATTTTAACTAGCATATTCTGCTTGAAATCCCATTTTTCATTTCTTAGTTGGTTTCTGTTTCGACATGCTTTGCTGACTGTCTGGTTCTGAAGTGTGCTTTTTGTCTTTTAGTAAATTGAGAATCAACATAGATATCACCGTTGCCATGAAGTGCCAGTGTAAGTGCACATGCAGCTCCATGACCCTGTATGTTTAACGTTCAAACAGTTGCCTATAAAATTAAAAGCCAAACATTGAATTTTAACTTTGTTTTTCCTCTATAAATTTAAAACTTTTATTTAATAGTGCAGATTGTTTCACTTCAGTTTATATTCCTTAAATGTCTGCCTGTAAGAAAACAGATTTAGCTTTCACATTAGTACATAACTAAAATAAAATGAGAGGAAAATCTTGTCAGAGTTTAGTCTGAGTGCATTCTCTTTTCTTTTTGGCATACCGTGTTTTCGAACCTCATTCCACACACATATCTTTACTGTAATTTATTCTTACATCTTAGAATACAGATCTAGCTCTTTTAAGTGAAGTGAAAAGCTACCTTTTTCTGTTTCCTTCCCTAGTTCCTTCCATTTGATTGGTAAAAGTGAAAAGAATGCCAATGTGTTCAATAGATTATGTTTCAGTCAATATTGCTGTCAAAAATGGTGTTACTTTTGTGTATAAAATGTCTCTTAAGTTACTGCTTCAAAGTAGAGACAGGCCAGGCAAATGCTGTGTTCCCAGCATTTGGGAGGCTGAGGCAGGAGGCTTGCTGCAAGTTTGAAGCCAACCAAGTCTACATAGTGAGTTTAAGGCCACCTTGGACTATAGCTAAGACCCTGTCTCAAAATAAACAAAACAAAGAACTCCCTGGACAACGTTTTAATGTGAAATAGTCCTGCAATTAAGAGGTTTCTAGATTTCAAAACATCCTTAAATATGTATCTTTTCCTTCCCATTTTTCCTTGATGATTTTGAAGTGATAAGGAAATACTTTATATCTAAATTTTGAGCTAGTGTACATACTGAATGTCATAGTTTGCCTTTTTAATTCAGGCTAAGTTTTATGCTTTTTAAAATGTAATTCCTTATCTAGTTTTCTGAAGAAGAAATAGAAAAAGCATTATTAAATTTTGGAATAATATCCACCAAAGCTGTATAATGCCTCAGCTTTAACTTTTGAACAATTAAGTAGTATAGGAAAGTAAGACTATGTGCTTAGTGAATTTTCTGTTGTCTTTGTTTATATCAGATTTTTTTTTTTTAATGCAGATGTTGGAGCAGATGTATTGGATGTAGCAGAAACAATGGTTGCATCTGCAGATGGTCTAGTTTATGAACCAGTAAGTTCATGATTTCTTAACTGTGTGCTCTGAAGAATTATATTCTTGTAGACAGTTTTAATATTTGCCTTTATTTTTATTTGTATTTTATTATTTTAAAAGTATTCCATTTCTTTGTGCAAAATTTAAATGAAGTGCAAGGGAAAAAAGTTATCTCTAATACATTTTGGATTTTATAAACTCAGATTTTTTTTATTAGTATGTGTGCTGTAAATCATGACTATATTCATCATGGCTGTTTTGTAACCTCATTCTTAATATTTTTTTGTTAATGTTTCCTAATAGTTTTCTCATATCTTTTATTAATTACCATAGGGATCAAATTTTCTACTTTTTCTGTATTGATTTGTAAACTTGTCTTTTAGAGGTGTTTGAGCTGGGTTTGTATCATAAGAATGAAATAGTATCTGAGAGGAGGTATTCATAGGTACTATTTTTTTCCATTTTTTACATCTCTGAAAGTTTACAAAGTGCTGATATTCTTTTGTAATCTTCAAAGCACAAGTTGCACATCCATAATTAATTGTCAGAAAACACTGACACATCACTGGGGAGGTACAGTACTAGCAAGACCTCATTAGAATTAGTTCCAAAGAAACTCAAGAATAAGTGTGAAGCCCGAGCTGCTCTGATGTGCTGACTGGCACATGTGATGTGATGTGGTTGGCATTGTGGAGCTTGTATTTATATGAGCACTCATGAGTTCCTTTGCTTATCTATGTCTGTTAGCCCTTTGGTAAGCAGGATTACAAAGTGATGACTAGCAGTAGTAGGGGAAGAGTAGAAGTGTTAAGTTTGTGGGTTTGAGGGAAGAAAAACAAACCTTGGTTGGCCACTTTCAGTTACTGAATTAATGATAGTTTTTAACAGCACCAACACATACATATTGTATATATGTACACACACACATACAAACATACACCCTTCAGTAAACATTTTTTGAATGGAAGTTTTTATAGAAAAAGTAACTTTGTTGTTGCAACCCTGACTCTTCCTGACCCATTTTCCCACTGACACAGTTGATTTTATAATCATTTTATATGTTATTAGGTACCTTATAAATTCAGGTACTGTATTACAGCATATTGACCTCTTGTCTGGAAATTTGGACCCGGATGATTATTATTTAGACACTTTAACGTTTGTATTATGTTTAATACTATCTTAAGAAAAATTACTCTGTTTTCAGATTGTTTTACTGCTTTTAGTTTTTACCATTCTTAGTTAATTTTACCATTTTATGTAGAGACATTTGAGGTTTCTTTTTCAGCAAGAGTATCATTGGTATCATTTTTACAGACTGCAGCAAGCTTCGTAATTGAGTCATGGAGTAACTTTTTTCCTTGTAAATGCAGATTTGGTGGTTGGCAGAATTCTTACTGATTCCTGGCAAAAATATAGGCTTTGGATGCTTGAATTTTAGTTATAAATTATATTATCTTTTTTTCTTCCAAGCAATTGTGTTTTGTGTTAGCTCATTTTAAGTTATTTTAACTCCTTAAACATCATTTTGTATATGTGGTAGATTGCCAGTCTGCATCTATTTCTTTAAATAGACAGTGACCATAGCAAAGTATTTTTTTTTTATTTTTATTTTTTTATTTAAGAGGATAAAGAGAAAAACACAAAACAAACCAAAGCGGTGTAAGGGTACACGTAATACAGAACTACAAAAAAACAAAACAAAACAAAAAAAACATAACAGTAAGAAATCACCTGTTAGTATATTACATATTATCATCTTGAAAATAGTTCCTCAAATCACAGTATCAAAGAATACAAGGTGGACATTCAAACAAGTAGACTGCAAACAGCTGTGTTCAATGATCCAAAAACATTGATACAGTCAGCTATTTAACACCCCTAAACACACTTGCTGTTATATCCGTTAGAGCTCTTTTTCTTTTTTTTTTTTTTCCCTATCTTTTTTACAACAAAATTCACGCACTTTGGATTTCATTACTCCTTAGTGCTTATTACTTTTTTTTTTGGGTGGGGAGGAAGAATACAGTAAAATATGGCAAAACAAAGCTGTCAGTCAATACCAAGTATAGACATAGCACATGATGTAGAACAGAGTACAAGTTTATCAACAATGGTTATCAACGTTGTCCCTTGTTTCCTTAAAAAGAATTGTCTATCTCATTAGATATTATAAAGTTGGACAAAACAGTAGAGAACAAGACCAGTAAAACTTAGGCATTGTAAACATTACAGGACTTCCAAAGAAGACAATAGTCAAACCAGAATGGGTATCTTAGTGAATCTTATTGTCTTCAAAGTAGTTGCCTATGTCTTCAAACTTGATACTACCATATAGAATGGAACAGAGTCTAATCAGTCAAAACAAGATCGTGGGAGTACTACAGGACTTCAAAACAAGTTAATAGGAAATCAAAAAGAGTTACTATTTATATATCATAATTTTTTGAATTTTTTCTTTAATTAAGACAAACATAAGAAATGACTAAATAATTTTTTTAAAACAATAAGGGGGAGATTGAGATAAAGCAGGACATAACAATATAACAATAGAGGTCACAGCATGACTGTTTCAACAACCTGGTACTTCACCACCGTATAACCTGACTTAATAGTAGTTACCATAGTGTCTTTTTCCTTGATATATTTGGATAAAACTTCATATACTCTAGCTTCAAATATTTTCAAATCAAGAAGCCCAGAATAAAGCCTTTCTAATTAATGAGTGAAAACTTTATAAGGCTCCAAGGCCACCTAATGGGGAATCATGATTACCACACATTTTTATATATTTGAATCATTACTTACATTAGGGAAACTATTCGGTATTCACACATGCGAGATTGATTTATTTCACTAATGAGTATGGTCTCAAGCTGCGCCCATTTATTGATAAATATCTCAATGTGATCCTTCTTTATAGCTGAATAATACTCCATTGTATAGAAATACCACAGCTTTTTTATCCATTCCTCAGTTGATGGACACTTGGGTTGTTTCCAAGATCTGGCGATTACAAATTGTGCTGCTATAAACATAGGTGCACATATATCACTGTGGTATGATGCTTTCAGTTCTTCTGGGAATATGCCTAGAAGTGGAATAGCTGGAATAAATGGGATTTCCAGTCCCAACTTTTTGAGAAATCTCCAGACAGATCTCCACAAAGGCTGTACCAGTCTACACTCCCACCAGCAGTGCAGGAGAGTTCCTTTTTCCCCACAGCCTCTCCAGCATTTGTTGTCGGTTTTCTTGATCCTGGCCATTCTTTCAGGAGTGAGATGGTATCTCAGTGTGGTTTTAATTTGCATTTCTCTAATGACCAATGATGATGAGCATTTTTTCATGTATTTATTTGCCATTTGCATTTCTTCATCTGAGAATTGCGTATTCATCTCAGATGCCCATTTTTGGATTGGATCTTTGAATTTTGGAGGTCTGAGTTTCTTTAATTCTTTATATGTTTTAGACAAGAGGCCCTTGTCTGAGAGAGAGTTCACTAAAATCTTTTCCCAGTTTGTGGGTTTTCTTTTCACTATGCTGGAGATTTCTTTTGACATGCAGAAACTTTTTAATAAGAAGTGGTCCCAGTTATTGATTCTGGGAAGTATTTCCCGTGCGGTTTGAGTCCTGTTCATGAATTCTTTACCTACTCCTATGTCTCCAAGGTTTCTACCTAATTTGTCTTCCAATAGATTTAGTGTTTCTGTTTTAATATTCAGATCTTTGACCCATTTAGATTTTAATTTAGTACATGGTGATAGACATGGGTCTAGCTTTAGTTTTCGGCAAATGGAGAGCCAGTTTTTCCAGCACCATTTATTAAAGAGACTGTCGTTCTTCCAGTGAACCTGCTTGGCTCCTTTATCAAAGATAAGGTGGTTGAGTGTGTTCGTAGTTGTGGTTGTATCTTCTAATCTATTCCACTGATCTTCGGCTCTGTTTTGATTCCAATACCATGTTGATTTTACTACTGTTGCTTTGTAGTATAACTTCAAGTCAGGGATTGTGATGCCTCCTGCTTTGTCTTTGCTGCTTAGAATTGCCTTTGCGATTCTAGGTCTCTTCTGGTTCCAGATGAAATTTAGGAGTGATTTCTCTAGATCTATAAGGTATGTTGATGGAATTTCTATTGGGATTGCATTGAATCTGTATAACAGTTTTGGGAGAATGGCCATTTTCACAATGTTTGTTCTTCCTATCCATGAGCAAGGGATGTCTTTCCATTTTCTGAGATCATCTTCAATTTCCTTTTTCAGTGTATTATAATTTTCACTGTATAAGTCTTTCACTTCTTTCGTAAGAGTAATTCCTAAATATTTCATTTTTTTGCTTGCTAATGTGAATAGTCCAGTTTCTCTTATTTCCCTCTCTGTAATTTTGTTGTTCGTGTATAGGAATGCTATTGATTTCTGAGTATTGATTTTGTATCCAGCCACATTACTGAATTTATTTATTGTATCTAAGAGTATTTCAATGGAGTTTAGGGGGTCTTCTATGTAGAGTATCATGTCATCTGCAAACAATGATAATTTAACTTCTTCTTTTCCTATCTTTACCCCTTTTATTTCTCTTTCTTGCCTAATTGCTCTGGCTAGTACTTCCAGTACTATATTAAATAGGAGTGGTGATAAAGGACATCCTTGTCTTGTGCCCGATTTTAAAGTAAAGGCTTTCAATTTTTGGCCATTTAGTATGATGCTGGCTGTTGGTTTGTCATAAATGGCCTTTATTATATTGAGGTAAAGACCATTTATTCCAATTTTCTGTAAAGTTCTTATCATGAATAAGTGTTGGACCTTATCGAAGGCTTTTTCTGCATCTATAGAGATGATCATGTGATTCTTATTTTTGGCTTTATTGATATGGTGGATTACATTTATTGATTTGCGTATGTTGAACCATCCTTGCATTCCTGGGATGAATCCCACTTGGTCATGGTGTATAATCTTCTTGATGATTTGCTGGATCCTATTTGCCAATATTTTATTGAGGATTTTTGCATCTGTGTTCATTAGGGAGATCGGTCTATAGTTCTCTTTTATAGTTGGGTCTTTCTCAGGTTTTGGTACTAGAGTAATATTTGCTTCCAGGAATGACTTAGGAAGGATTGCTTCCCTTTCAATTTCATTGAATCGTTTGAGGAGTGTCGGCATTAGGTCTTCTTTATATTTCTTGTAGAATTCTGCAGTGAATCCATCTGGGCCTGGGCTCTTCTTGGTGGGTAAGGCCTTAATTACATTTTCAAGTTCATTAGCAGAGATTGGGTTATTCAACAGTTTTATATCCTCTTCATCTAGCTTTGGTACTTCATATGCTTCTAAGAATCTGTCTATTTCTTCTGTGTTATCAAACTTTTGAGAGTAGAGGTTTTCGAAATAGGTGTTGATGATCCTCTGTATTTCTATTGGGTCTGTAGTGATTTCTCCTTTTTCATTTCTTATTGCATGAATTTGAGCTTTTTCTTCCCTTTTTTTAATAAGGTTGGCTAGGGGCTTATCGATTTTATTTATTCTTTCAAAGAACCAACTCTTTGACTCGTTTATTCTTTGGATTGTTTTCTTAGTCTCTATTGCATTGATTTCTGCTCTGATTTTTATAATTTCCTCTCTTCTTTTGGCTTTGGGCTTGACTTGCTCTTCTTTTTCTAGCTGTTTGAGGTGTAGCATCAAGTTATTTATTTGTATTCGTTCTGTTTTCCTGATGTGGGAACTCAGTGCAATAAATTTTCCTCTCAGAACGGCTTTCATTGCATCCCCCAGATTCCAGTAAGTTGTATCTGCATTTTCATTTTCTTTTAGGTATTGTTTAATTTCTTCTTTAATTTCTTCTGTGACCCACTGATTACTCAAGAGTGTGTTATTTAGTTTCCATGTGTTTGTGGAATTTTTGCAGTATCTTTTGTCATTAATTTCTAATTTCAGAGCGCTATGATCCGATAATATGCAAGGGATGATTTCAACTTTTTTGCATTTGCTTAAATATGTTCTGTGAGCTAATATATGGTCTATTTTAGAAAATGATCCATGTACTGCTGAGAAGAATGTGTATTCTGATGTTGTTGGGTGGAACATTCTGTATATGTCTATCAAACCCATTTGTTCACAGGTGTGATTCAGTTCTGTTATTTCTTTGCTCATTTTCTGTCTGGTTGATCTGTCCCTTGGTGTCAGTGGTGTATTAAGGTCTCCTGTTACAATTGTGTTACTGATAATTTGAGTTTTCATTTCTGTTAATAATTGTTTTATATAACTGGGTGCTCTGGAGTTTGATGCATATATATTTAAGATAGTTATCTCTTCCTCTTGGAGTTTTCCCCTTACGAGTATGTAGTGACCTTCTTTGTCCTTTATGGTCATTGTTGGTTTAAAGTTCACGTTGTCTGCAAACAGAATGGCTACTCCTGCCTTTTTTTGGATTCCTGCTGCATGGAGAATTGTTTTCCATCCTTTGACTTTCAGTCTGTGAGTATCCTTCTGGGTTAGATGGGTTTCCTGTAAACAGCATATGGTTGGATTTTGTTTCTTGATCCATTCTGCTAGTCTGTTTCTTTTGATTGGTGCATTGAGACCATTTACATTAATGGTTATTACTGTTAAATGCTGGTTTATTGTAGGAATGTTATCTCTCTGCTGTTGCATCTTTATCTTTCTGTTCTGTTTAATTATTTGCTTTGCTTAGTGGTTTTTTCCTTTGTGTATCTAAACTGTCTTTCAATATTTTTTGCAGGGTTGGTTTGGTGTTCATGAAGTTCTTCAGCTGTTCTTTGTCATGGAAGTATCGTATTGCACCATCTATTTTGAATGATAGTTTTGCAGGATATATCAGTCTCGGTTGGAAATCATTTTGCTTTAGGATCTGGAATACTTCACTCCATGCTCTTCTTGACTTTATTGTTTGTGCTGAGAAGTCTGCTGTGATTCTGATAGGTTTTCCTTTATAAGTGATCTGTCTTTTCTCTCTGACAGCTTTTAATAATCTATTCTTGTGTTGGATTTCTGGGATGGTGATTATTATATGTCTGGGTGTAGTTTTATTTTGGTTATGACTGTTTGGAGTTCTATATGGTTCACTGATCCTGATGTCAGTTTCCGATCTCATGCTTGGGAAATTTTCAGCTATTACTTCTCTAAATATCCTCCTGACATCCTTCATGTTGTCTCCCTCTCTTTCATTAATCCCTATCATTCTTATGTTATTCTTCTTTGCATCATCTTGCAGTTGTTGAATTGTTGTTTCCTGATTCCTTGTTATTTTCAAAAGAACTTTCCTTTCCTGTTCACTAGCTGCAATCCTGTCTTCAAGGTCTGAAATTCTATCTTCACTTTCATTAAGGCGGTTTTTACAACTTTCAGTGGAGTTTTTTATTTCCTGTATATCTCTGTGCATCTGCATTATGTATTCTGTTTGTTTCTTATATTGCTCGTCTAGGGATTCTATCTTTTTGTTTAGTTCCTCCAATTTTTTATCTGTGTTTTCTTTAGATATATTTAGAATCTCTTTCATTTCTTTTATCATTTCTTCTTTTATCTGGGAGATTATTTCGAGTTTGAATTTCTTTAAAGCTTCCTGGAGTTGCTTGTCAATTTCAGTGGCTATTGTGTCCGATATATGAGGTGGATGGGATATATTTTCTTCTATATACATCGCTCCTAGGGTTTCTTGAGATGGGCTGGAGGTTTGAGGTTGTAATTTGGTCTTTCGTTTTGTCATTTTATTATATTTCTGTGTTTCAAGTGTTATTTGAAAGCTTCCTCAGGATCTGTTGAAAATCCCCTTCTATGTTTGGAGCTACTGAGACTCTGGCACCGCGCTACCCCAAGCCATTGGGCCTACATAACCATTGGCCCTCCTCTGCCTGCTCAGAACTCCACAGTTCCAGACAAGCTGGGCCTCAGGGACACTGTGTGCCCACCTGCCCCTTGGAAGCTCCACAGTTCTTCAATCGCAGCTGGGTTAGGGTACTCACCACAGGCCGCAGTGGTTCAGGAACCTGTGGACCCTCCCTGGTTGCAGAGATATCCAGAGTCCTCCAGACACGCAGAGAGGCCGGTGAGGGCACCCCAGATCTGCCCAGCTCCTCCTCTGCAGACCTATGGCCAGGTGCTGCAGCTAAACAGGCTGGGCTAGGCTGATAGTGTGGGCCCGCCCATCCGTCCGCAACTCAGCAGGTCTCCAAGTGAAGCTGGAATGGGGAGGCTGATATGGAAGCCTCAAACCCACCTCTCTCCTTCACTGCACCTGGAAGCCTGGGGGAACTCCAGCAGTCTGGGCGGAGATATCCAGAGTCCTCCAGACACGCAGAGAGGCCAGTGAGGGCACCCCAGATCTGCCCAGCTCCTCCTCTGCAGACCTATGGCCAGGCGCGGCAGCTAAACAGGCTGGGCTAGGCTGATAGTGTGGGCCCGCCCATCAGTCCGCAGCTCAGCAGGTCTCCAAGTGAAGTGGGAATGGGGAGGCTGATATGGAAGCCTCAAACCCACCTCTCTCCTTCACTGCACCTGGAAGCCTGGGGGAACTCCAGCAGTCTGGGCGGAGATATCCAGAGTCCTCCAGACAAGCAGAGAGGCCGGTGAGGGCACCCCAGATCTGCCCACCTCCTCCTCTGCAGACCTATGGCCAGGCGCGGCAGCTAAACAGCCATAGCAAAGTATTTGTGATTAGTAAAATTTCGTGTTATTTTTAATAAACTGTCACCTTAAAACTTTTGATTTATAGATTAAATCCTGAATATTTGTTTTTGATAACATTATCAATTTATGTTTCCTGCTTAGATAAGATTTTTAAAAATCAAAAGCGAAAGTCAAGAGAATTTAGCAGTGCTATTTATTGCTTTCTCTTTTCAGGCAATATTTGATCTCTCACCACAGCAAAAAGAATGGCAGAGGTAATAAAGCAAGATTTATTGTCTGTTGAAATCTAGATAATGTGTTTTCTGTTGTAAGCTAGTTATAGTTTAACATTTCTCTGCTTGAATTATTAACAGAATTTAGTATATAATATAATCTTTTAACAATTTAAAAATTTAACACATCTTAGGAAAGTTGTGCATAAACTTTTTAAAATATTTTGATTCATAAATTAATTTTAGTATTAAAATTTAATTCTAGATGTAATTTGTGAACGTAGCTTAAAATTTAATTTGAATAGAATGAATACACGGAAAACTAAAAGGCTCTTATTCTGGAAACTAGGACCTAATTAGTGGTGATAGTTAGAGGTAAGTTTTTTATATGGCTTTCTAAAAATTTTCTTTACATATAGTTTTTGTGTTAATAAATATATTTATTATTTTTCATAATACAAATGAGTTCACTCCATACATTTGTTCTCTAACTTGCTTTTTTCCACCTAACATGATAATTTTGCACATTTTAATACGTTTAGTAAGTCCATTTTATGCGTGGACTACAGTATATAAAAATGATACTCAGCATACTTGAGCCTAGTCCCTTTTGTGTTTGTGTTAATGTGTGTGTAAATATTTTTCAGAAATGAAATTTCTCTTTGTAAAGATACTTAACATTTGATATATAGAACTGTATATTCTCCCAAACTGTTGCTTTTCTTGTACTCAAACTATGAGAGTGCTTATTTCTGCATAACCTCATCAAAAATAAGTATAACTAGAATTAAAATTTTTCTGCAAGTTTGATGGGTGAAAATAAGTATTGTGTGTTTTTATTTGCATCTCTATGAAAAAATGGACTATTTTTGTGAATTCTTTTCCTCACTGCTATTTCTTTGCTTTTTGCTCTTTTTTCTGTTTATGTGAAACTGGTTGGTGATGCTTTTGGTTAGTTGATTTTCATTACCTTTTTGAATCTTGTATATTCAAGAAATGCATCCTTTGTTTTATTTAATTTCCTAAATCCTTGTCTCACCCTACACCGTTTTGGATTGCTAGGCCACGTCCTATACTTAAAAAGGCATTGCTCAATTAAAGATTATTGAAAAATAAATTTTTAGCTGTTTTGTTTTCTAGTATCCAGTTACATTTTAAGGGCAAAATGCACTTTAATTTCCAACTTCACTATGTGAGGGAATTTTAATACGAAAGTTGAAATTCATTGAATAGAAGCATTGAATACTAAGTGTGTCAGGCTTCCAGCACTTTTAGTAGAAAGCCATTCAGAAAGGAAATACTGTACTCTGATTCAGAAATATTAGTGATATTTTGTGTTCAGAGTTCAAGGATAGTAGCTAAGTGGGAGTAGAGAGTGTATGCTTTTAAGATGACCAGGGTTGTCCATCATGTTTGAGTTTTCTGCATACTTCTTATGTGGAATTTAGGTTCGGATATTGTTTGACGTATTTTGGGCAGAAGTTAGAGACACACACACACACACGCGTGCGTGCACACATTTTGTGTTATCAGACTGACATCAAGCATCAGCCTAGCATCAAAAGTTGTACTCTGGAAATGCAAGACATAAGAAGGGAAAGTTTTCAATTGCTGGGCTTGGATCCAAAGATTTTAAGTCTTAGATATTAAAATCTGAAGATGAATGTGACTCCTTGAAGCTTCTTGGGTTATCATGTTCTACTTTAAATAAATATTCTTTAATAGCCCATGAATGAGCTGCAGAAAACTTTGTGAATGATGTATATACCAAGATGTTCTTCGCTTTTAGAATTTGCTAAGAGATTTAAATTTTCTATCAGTTGGTATTCTACTTTCTTAAAATACTTAGGAACCAACTTTTCTTTTCCTTGTTACTGGAGATTGAACTCATGACCTCGTGCTTGTTGGGAAGACATTTCGCCACTGAGCTAACCCCTCGTTAAATTTTCTTTTTCTGTGGTTGAAAATTTTAGACCTAGCCTTTCTGGGTTTCTGCTTATTTATGTCCAGATTTAAAGTTTATTCTAAAGTAAGTGTATAGTATAACTATGACTTATTATTTTAAAAACTTTGTTTGCCAGTATTCTACATGAGTGGTACAAATATGCCCATTTGCGTTTCTAGAAAATGCTTATTTAAAAAAAAAGAAAGAAAATGCCCATTTTATCATTATGGTGGAGTGCAGTGTTACAGATTTACATTTGCATTCTTATGGTACCTGTGTTTATGTGTAATTTTTTCCCCAAGTTCAGTGTATGTATTTAAGTGTGTATGTATACACACACATACACATTTATGTGTACGTACATACATACATGCATTTTTAGCCTTTGCTTTTGTCACACCAAAATTGACAAGAAAGTACAGAATTCCCATATAAGACTCCTGTTATATTAGTTACAATTAATGAATGTACACTGACACATCATGACCCAGAGCCATAGTTTATATTAGGGTTCACTGTTGTACATTCTATAAGAAATGGGTAATGTACATATCAACTACTATAGTACTATGAAAAATAGTTTGACCGCCTTAAAAATTCCATGTTCCACCTCTTCATCCTTCCCTTCCTATGGTGTATAGTGTTATACTTGCTGAGTTACAACTTTAGATAGCTTGAGATACTATGGTCTTTAATGATATAAAATTAAGAGAAAATGTGTTTTACAAGTGCTTATTTTTTTATATGTTCGTACTGTTTTTAAAAAATGACAGGAAGAGTATAGTATTTTAGAATTATCTTGCCATAGAATAGTTTAGTTCCCATGAGAAAGGGGGTATTGGGTGACGGTAAATGACTGTGTAATGCAAATTAGATACTCGTGATGGGGTTTATACCCCCAGGAATCTACCAGTTTGAGTCCATCATGGCTATTTATTGTATGGCTCTTACTTGTCTTACGATTTGTATCTACAACACCTAATAAATTAATTTTTTATTGAACTTAGGATGTTGCAGTTGATTCAGAGTAGACTTCAAGAAGAGCATTCTCTTCAAGATGTGATATTTAAAAGTGCTTTTAAAAGTGCATCAACAGCACTTCCACCAAGGTGAGCAATAGACTTTAAATATGTGACTATTTACTGTATGTACTACAAATTTAATGTAGTTTAGTGTTGATTTAGTTTTCTGCATCTTAGAGAACACAGAATTGTACTGTACCAAAATAGTGACTTTTACTCTTAAATTTATAGCTTATGATTTTGATCAGGATTATCACAGGTGCATTATTTCATTTTTATTTAATTTTATGGGTGTGGTATATTTCTGTATAAAATATTACGTTTTAAGATCAAGGTGGTTGCATTTATTATTGTGAGGACACATACTGTAACTTTTGGTTAGGAATTTTTTTTATTTCTCTTCTTTTTATTTTTCTTTTATAGGTTAGAGTAGTTGATATTAGGAAATATTATAAACATGAACATGATACTTAAGAAATACAGATTTATGTTTCCTTGAAAAATGTCACCATCTATTTGAATTCAGACATTATGCCCTTTTCTTACCTGAATTTTATTTCCATCCAATCTTTCCTCCTACATTACTGGAAATAGATGAAGAAAACATATTTTTGTTGGACTAATTCTTTTGTTTTAATTTTCCTCCTGTCATTAGACTTAATCCTCTGGTTAGATTTGAAAAACCACAATATTAGATTTGTGTAAATATAGTAGATAAGTTATAATTATGTAATTTTGTTTTTTTTAAATGCATGTTTTTTTATAGTTATACAGATCTCAGTAAACTGCTATTCCAGATTTCACATTTAGGATATAACCTAAAAATTTTCTAGGGATTCTTCCCCTCTTCTACATGCAGTTTTCTCATGACACAATTGTAGGTATATTGAATATGTTTTAAGTAATCTTAATATATGCTGTTTTAATAGGGAAGCCAATTCATCGCAGTCTCCAGATGCATGCCGAATTCACGGTCACCTCTATGTTAATAAAGTAGCTGGAAATTTTCACATAACTGTGGGCAAGTATGTTCTTTTTCTCTTACTGAAAATGATGTAGGCAAGGTTGCTCTTGGTTAAAAATAAAGTCTTATTCAGATAATATTAATTGCTAACTATAAAGGACTGCTAAGATGTTCTGTATTTGTATTTTCAGATTGATGTTTGGTGCTTCAATCACAGGATAGAAAAGACTACTAACTTTTAAAACACACATTCGGCATTCATGTCATATTTTAAAGTCTAGGTAAATGTTATTTAAGACCTATTCCTTGCTAAGTTTTAGTTGTTGGAGAGTGCCACTAGACATTTTATTATTTTTTATTGTTGGTGGTATGTTACTAGTTTTCGTTGGTTTAGTCTTTTGATAGTCCTCATCAAAAGGCAGTACCTTGGGGCTGGGGATTTAGCTCAGTGGCATAAGCACCTGCCTTGCAAGCAGGCGGTCGTGAGTTCGATCCCCAGTACCGATAAAAATGAAAAAAGACATACACACACACACACACACACACACAAAAGGCAGTACCTGACTAATTCTGGGCATGTATTTTGATAGTTAGAAATTAGTAGGATCTGGAATTAAGTTGGGTACAAGTTAAGAGAAAACATCCTGTTACACCCATCTTTATGTGTAGCCTAGAAATTAATAAAGGCATGGTAAATTTCTAAATGAATAAATAGATTACATCCCTTCCTCCCTCTCTTTCACATAGAGTTGTCTAAGGCATTGAGTACTTTCTGTGTGTGAAGTGCTTAAGAGTAAAATACTGGAAAATGATGAAAAAGGATTTTTGCCTTTAATACTGACATTCCGTAAGAGAATTCAAACTTTGAACAATGAATACACTAATAATTGTTAATTATGGCTGTATTTATGCTGTGAAGGAAATGTATGGCTGATATGAAAAGATTGTATGTCAGGGTTCTTGACCTAATCTGCTAGTCAGCAGAGGCTTTATTGACAAAAATCCTTGTATACTATTTGAGAATAAGAATTTAACACTCTTTAAAGTGAAAGAGTCTACAGCAAGAAAAAAAGTGGTTGAAGTTTTTTTTATAGAGATAACAGACTTGTATGAAAGAGTATTTCAGTGTTACAGTGATCAAACCTTTTTTTTTTTTTTTTTTTTTTGTTTTTTTTTTTGTTTTTTTTTTTGTTTTTTCCCCTTCTGTTGTACTCTGTTTCTTGAAAATTCCAACTTTGTTTTCTGGTTATTATTGCCTGGCTGGATTCTGCCTATTCCCATCTGTTACTAAGAACCTTGGGATTACTAGATATTGTAGAGTTAATAAATATTAGTTGGCTTAAAGAAATACAGAAGATTTTATTGTACTTTTGCACACAAATAGTATCCTCTTCCAAGAGGGAAACTGACAAATACGGTATGTTGTGTACCCCCTTTCCAGTTTTACTTCTTGCCCAGGCAATAATTCATGCTATCAGTAAGAAGCCAAATAGAGAAGCATTTGGTTTGTAGCTCATCAACTTAGCGATATCCTGTCAACCTACCACTAATGTTTTCTTGATTTGTTAAGTTGACTCCTGATTATTTTGAAAATTTCATAATACCTCTCAAACAGTGCCATTCCCAATTGTACTAAAGGAATAAAAGAATACAGTTTCTAATGTGTATTTTAATATGCAACTGCTTGAATATGAATCACTAGAAAACATAAAGATATAGGTAAATGCTTGCCACTTATGTATAGAACCCATAGTATACTGAGATCTAATTTCCTCTCAGATATACCATATGAGTGGCATCTCTGTTGATGAGATGGTAATTTGAAATAGCTAATGACTCTTTAATACTGTAAACAAAGCAATATGATCTTAGTTTTGTAGAAAGCCTAGCATGTATTGAAGCTGAAACAAGTGTAGCTAAGTTCTAGATTCAGGTGATTATAAATGAGTTTTCACATATCAACATGAACATCTCTTAAAGCCCTTGAAGGTCACGTGAGATATGGGCAGTTTCTTTGTGAGATTGTTGATCTTTTTGCTGGATGCCTTGCTTCCCTGGCCCCATTCTCAAATACCAATAACAATCTTTCCCCAATAATTCTCACAATCAAAAATACCTGTCTCCCACCCCTACCAATTTTCAGAACATGTTTTCCACTGTAAAATCATTTGGATTACATTTTTTGCCTAATGGATTAGAAAATACAAGATACCAGAAAAGAAATAAATAAGTTGAGAGAATATAGCTTCCCTGTGTGAGGTTTTACAGGCATTAGAGGACTGCTGGCATCTGTAAGGGTTGTTTTAATTTGATTTTTAACTTTTAGTTTTTGAAGGAAGGTGCCTGCTTTTATTATTATTTCCTAAATTTACAAGTATGTTTTAACTAGTAAAAAAAAAAAAAAAAAAAGTACATTTCAAAACAGATCTGTTCCTCCCAGAATACTATTCTGTGTTGTACAGGAGACCATTGAAGTCATACCCAGTACTATAATGTGAGTAGCAGTGCATGTTGGGATAATGGCATCAGTGGGGATTGGAATAACCTATGACAGTAAATTCTCTTTTTAGTAGTGAGTTTGAGGATATATATATATATATATATATATACACACACACACACACACACACACATATTTCTTCTTAACGTGTAAGAGATGCTTTGCTGTATAAGACTTTAGTAAACTTCATGTTGAATATTAACATATTTCCCTAACACATCTCAAAACTGGTAGTCACAAAAATTTAAAAAATATACTAAAGAGAATATTTAATAGAATTTCTATACAGGAATAAAAAATGAAAATGAGGTTGTAATCAAAGTTAAGTTTGTGTCTGATTGGTTAGCCAGATAAGAAAAACAGTGTCCTGATAAGTTAATGAAATCATGTTTGAGTGCAGCAGCTGAAAAAATGTACCCAGAGATAGTAAAATTTCTTTAGGTAGTTGACTCCATAATGAAAATGTTGTACAGCTGAGGATGTTAATGGCAGGTGCAGTGGGCAGTTAAAATGCAAGGCAGGGGCGTCAGAGTGATGTGCTAAGCAGCTGATGCATAGGTAGATATTAACAATTCTATTTTTATTTGAGGAGTCAATGCTCAGTTTAAAGTGATTGAAGAATTGCTGTCTATGCTTAGCCTGCAGGTAACAACTTAAGAAAGCTTTTTTTAAAAGAAGTTGAGAGAATACAAATTTCAGTACAATGTAAAGTAGAGTCGGCTAATACATGTTACAACTGATCAAGCAGAAAAAGATAACTTGGATAAATTTTCCAAGTATGAAAATGTGAAAAAGCTTTAAGAGTCTTTGGTTAGCCATTTTTCATCAGCAGTACTTTGCAGAAAGTATTTGAATTGGTAATGGTAAATAACATTTGCACTCACAAATTTAAATACTGTCATTTCCATAAATTTTTGTTATGGAGGCTGAAATTTCCAAATCGACGTAAAAATACATAGCAGTTTGGCTTAGCAGTGAAAAGGATTTTAATTTTTAGTTTTTTAGCTGATGGGAAAATGGAAATTTTTCTGAAGGAGTATATACCAGCTGCCATTTTCACTGAACACTGAATAGCTTTGAAGTTAAGTTTGGTGCACACTCAGTAATGTTTCTTAATGTAACGTTTCTAAAATTATAAGGCAAAACATATATATCAAGTAATGTTATGTGATCTTGAGTGGTTTCTTCTGTTTTTAATACTTTAACAGCTTTGTTGTTAAAAGTTAAAATAGAAATTGAGATCTTTATTCTCATGCTTGGATATATGTTCTTATCTAAAGGGTATAGTCCAAAAACGTTTTCAGTCGTTGATGAAAACGCAGGTGAAATTTCTGTTTCAAAATCTATTTAATTGTGCAATTGAGGGTATTCTAACCTAAGTTCAGAGTTATTAATCTGGAATGTAATAACATGTTTACAGGCAAATACTAATAAATGCCTTCTGATCAGTTAATATGCCATTTCAGAAATGGTTATGAATTTATGTTTTCGAAGTTGAAATTTGTGAAATTTCATTACAGATCATCATTAAAAGATAAACATTTGTGGTCAACTTTGAAATAGGAATACTGTCTCTAAACCCCACTAAGCGAAATATAGTTTCCTGTCAAAATACTTGTTAGAATACAGGCATTCTCAGTTATTACTATTTTGAGTTTCATCAATAAAATTTGTGACAGTCTGTATCCTCATTATATAACTAACTATAATATCCTTGATGTTAAATGTTGGGGCACAAAGCCTAAAATATTTTCTATGTAGTTCTTTATAGACACAATTTGCCAGCCCTGGTTTATTGCATTGCTTAGATGACCAGACTTGCTATTTCATCATAGGCCAAATGTTAGTTTGCACTGCAGTTGCGCAGCTTAGGAAGGATTCACTTTCCAAAGGTGGTTATTTATATGTTTAAGCATTATTTCTTCATATTGTTTTTTTCCTTCCAGGGCAATTCCACATCCTCGGGGTCATGCACACTTGGCAGCACTTGTCAACCATGACTGTAAGAAGCTCTGAAATTTTTTTAGTGTAGATGTTCTTAAAAAAATGGGGTTAGTGCAGGTACAAGGTAGGGCTTTGAAAGGAAGTTATTTTAAAAACAGATTCATCCAAAGGAAAAAAAATTATTACATTTATTGACTGATACACTTCCTGTTAGCTTTAAGCTACCTGTATTTGTATGTGATCCTAGTTCAGATTTGTTAGGGGCATGGAGGTTGGTATACTTTCTATCACTTTAATCATTTCAGTTAATTTTTATAGATAATGAAGAGACTATATTTGAAGTTTATTTCATTTTGTAAATCTAAATGAACATATCCACACATACAGTTTGTTTGGCGTAATATTGTTATGGGATTTATTTCTGCAGTCTGCTATAGAGCACAAAATAAATTCTGTTAAAAATCAGTTTAATCTCAGCAGTGCTATATATTAAAAATATAATCAGCTTCATTATTTGTTTATAGGAACATTACAATTGTTCTCACAAGAGTGTCCTATGACTAGGTGATGTTTGGGATCAGGAAAGATGTATTTTAAGACTGTCAGGATTAAATACAGTATTTTGAAGAAGTTAATTTGTATTTAATTATAAAATTTGAGGTATAGCACTTTTTCAGAATTATTCTGATATATTTCTCATTGATAAGTACATTTCTTACCACAGGGCTTGTGGTACTACGTTATTATACTTGCAGAATATAGATATTTTCATTTGTGAATAGACAAGTATGTAAACCAATCTGTAACATGTAGTTTTGAATAATACAATTTCTGAACTTAGTTGTTTTTTTTTCTTTTTAGCTTACAACTTTTCTCACAGAATAGATCATTTATCTTTTGGAGAACTTGTTCCAGGAATTATTAATCCTTTAGATGGAACTGAAAAAATTGCTGTAGATCGTAAGTATTTAGTAATTACTCTGGGATGCGCATGCTGGAAATTGTTAACCCTAATACTGTATGTGTTAAATAATCTTCTTAACCTTGTATAGATAATTTTTTTAAGTGACTGATGAGTGAAACATGTGGAAAGAATCTGTCTTAGCAGTGGATGAAATTTGAATGTTAAAAATTTGAGTTTTAGAACAGAATAAAAAATTAAGAATTAAAGGTAGGTAGGCAGGAAAAATAGAGTGTAAGTATTGTAAACATATGAAAGGTTAATATGTTACTAGGACATAATTGTATTTGTTGATGTTTACTAAATAAAGAATTAAAAGAAAGTTTTAATATTGTAGGAAAACTTTTCTTCTGTTTAGGTTCCAAGTTCTAACGTGCACATGTATTGTTGTAGGAACCTCCCTGGAGAATTTTACAAACATAAGAAACCTAGAATCTCTCCAGAGTGGCTTACTTACTAATATTGTCATATAGTGTTTTTCAGTGGTTTTTGTTTTTTTTTTTTTTTTAATCTACTCCAATTAAGGATTGTTTTCTACATTTTGTTGCAAGTACTCTAGCTCATGTTTTCTGGAGTTTTGATTACCTTCAGTCTCCTTAGTCATATTGTGTGACATGCCCTACCTCTTGGGTGATAGATGGTGTCCAATGCTTGCTAAGCTCCTGGGAACTCTGGCTTCTCCATGACAATGAGTATAATTTTCATTAATGTAAGTGGATATATTATTGTCAGGATTATAATAGTCTGTATTTTAGGTGTTAGGTACATTAATGATGCTTCACTTCAATTATTGGTTCACATTCATGAGTATTTTAAGTTTACATGGGAATGTTTCAGTTAGTGAAAATTAATGAAAATAATTTGGAAATGTGTAATAAGCATCCTGTGAATTGTAAATTTTATTCAGTAGAATCTTGTCTGCAATCTGAATATATGTTTATTTTATGCTGAATGCAGTACATGCTAAGAGGTGCTCATTTGAAAACATGTTGGTCAGTTTTACTTCAAGATACTAAAATGAACTGTGAATTTTTGTACAGATGTTCCTCTAAATATAAACAAGTTGATTTTCAGAAGGTTGTTTTTAAGTATACCTCCTACTAAATTCAGAGACCAAGAGTTAGAGTTATATTATGAAATGACTCCTGGTAATTGTGAGTGATTACTCAAAATTTTAAAGCAAATGTTCTTTTTTTCCCTCCTCATACATTAATATATTCCATGGCACCTCTCTTTCTGGAAAACAAAACAAGAAAGGTAGTTAGAAACCTTGGCATCAGGTGATTACTGTCTGCCTCATGGTCTCTAGAAGTACTGCGCTTTGCTTGAACTACAGTGTCCTTTATGCTGTGCAGATGTAGGCAGATCTGCAACCTTTGGAACAGTCTACCCCTTGGAACTGAAAGCAGCTGCATTTTTATCCATTGTGGTTAGTGAGCTCTTCAGCAGAGAGTTTTCCTGATTTTTACATTAGACAAACCTTGAGCAGTCCTCTGACCACAGCTTATTAGAGTTTCAGTTTTCCCTTTTTACTTGTTTGAGCCTCATGGGTCACTATTTATTACTTTGACATTTTGCCCTATATGCGCAATATTGTGATTTCCTATATCCTTCACATTCCCTGTCTGATTGTTCCATCTGTGTACAATTCTGGTTGATACTTTACCACTCTGTTGTATTTTTTTAAAATAAATACTTGATACTTTAACCTTTTTCATCTAATAGTTTCAGCTCTGTTTATGTGACATGATAAAAATACTAGATTAAGTAGTTCAGCGTAAAAGAACAGTGTGCAAAAGGCAAATCTGAAGACCATCCTCAAATTATAAGATGACAATATTTTGCCTAATATCATCTGTGAGAATGTTTAAGACATTAAGTTGATATTAACATTAGAACTGGTCAAAAAATACATATAATTGAAAATTACAGTGTTATGTGTAATAGGAAATTTTGTATCTTAAATAAGATACAAAATAGGCTTGGCTTTCTTTTACTAGGCATTTAGTTAGAGGTTTGTTCCTCGCTTTCTGTCCATAGTCATATTTTTTCCTCCTCTATTTTACATAAGGTAGTGATAAGAGGTAGAAATCTTGGATTGATAGAAATAAAAATTGGTTTGTCTAGAGCAAAAGGCTAAGCACACACAAAAAGTATATATTATATGGTTCTGTCTATGTGCAACTGTAGTATAAGTAAAAGTAATTTGGTACTAAAAGGCAGGTCAGTGGTTAGAGTAGTGTCTAATCCAGTGGTTAGTGGAATAGGTAAATTGCTAAGGGTATGAAGAAATCTTTTGAGGTTTTGAAAATCTTGTATTTTGCTTTGGTTGTGATAATATGGATGGAGATATTTGTTAACATTTGAAACATACATTTTAATCTATGCATTTCATTACGTATAAAGTTGATTTTTTTGAAAGTTCATTTGTCCAACAGCTGTTTATTTGAAAGAATACCTTATTTATTAGTTTCTGTTGGAGCCATCAAGTACCCAGTGCTCAAAGGCAACAGACATAGTTCTTGCTTCTCAGTGAATACACATTTTAACAAGGAATGAGACATTGTCTCCACCCTAGGTAATGATAAATGTGAGGACAAGTGACTGAAGAAAATGTAGGAGATTGCTTATTATAGGAGAAAGGAAATAGGAAGGGCTGTATACTTGAGAAAGATGACCTGAGTGAAGAAGTGAGTCAGGTAGTAGTCACTATAGAGTGTTGTAGGCAGCTTTATATTATTATTATGAAAAGAAATAATCTGCATTCATACCACAGTTGGATAATGCATCACACATACATCCTTTTATGCTGCCAGCTGGCCAGGTAGCAAGGATGAGGCCTCATGTTATAGTGGGTAGATGTGTGTATTCTGATGGAACACAGGTAAATCTGACATCTGAGTCAGGGATTGTTGGAGCTTGATGAACTTCTGGTGATCAGATAATCTAGCCTTCTAAAGGTCTCAGACTGACCACTCATAAACCAGAGTCAGGTCCTGCTGCAATAGTGGTGTATAGCAAACCCTCAGCCTTACAGGCTTAATATGACCACCTTTATCTTCTCTTTTGTGAGCTGTAGTAGGAGTGTGTGTCTTCCATTCTCTTGCTATAGTGACCGTGCAAGACATCTTTACTTTTAAGTGGATGGTAGCGGGCAAGCAGTTTGTATGGGTGAACCGTGACGTGGCAGTCCCTAAAGCAAGATAGCAGAGGAACCTGAACCAAGTGAGCAGAGAAGTGGTCTCTACTTGTAGTGAGCCATGACAGTGAGGAAGAAGGCAGGGAAATTTTGAACAAATAACACAATTTACCCCATCTTTCACTCTTGATCAGAATGATTCTCTTCTGCATGTAAAATACATTTTATTCCTGATGTTTCTTCAGCCAAGGCACCAGACTTGATCTTTATCAATTCTGAATGAGATTGCTTTGAATCTAGAGACCTATGAGCTAAACAGTTGTGGCCCCCCCCCCCACTCATTACGTTTCAAGAGCATATATTGTGAAATATACTAAATACTCTCTTTCAAAACAGGGAAGAATATGTACCAAATATTCAGCATCATAGCAGTTTTGAACTCTCACCTGGACAGATGTGACATTTCCCTGCTCAGGGATGTAAATGTCCCTTGCTGAGGTCCTGTCTGCTCCTGGGCAGAGCACTGTTTTATGCACTCCTGGGCCCCACAAGTCCTTTCTCTTCTCTGTGGCTCTTGGCTTCATCCTATGAAAGTGGACCTACTTTTCCATATACTTTTGGCTCTATCTAGCTAAAGCATTGGAGACACACCTTTCTTAGAATTAAATACTTTTTCTTTGCCTACATCCAGTTGGAGACCTGTGTGCTTTTAAATTTCCAACTTAAACTGTTTATGAATGCAGAAGCTTTGTTTTCATACAGCTCCAGGTACCAGAAGTTGAGGAACTGTTAAGAGACATGCCTCATTATCAGCTAAGTCTAGGGTCTCTGGGCTTGTCAGGTTTCCTTCTGGTCTGTATCGCTGCAAAGGAAGGTAGATTCTACCATCCAGGAACCTTGGCAAATACAGAGGGAAGAAATGTGAACAGATAGTAATACTGTCATTCACAGCCCATAGTTGCTACAGATGTTTTGTTTGTTTATTTTTCTGGTACCAGGGGTCTAATTCATGACCACACACTTGCCAGGCAGGGGCTTACACTGAGCTAAATCCCTGGCATATTTTGTTTACTTCAGGTTTGTGCTTGCTTTGTAAAAGATTTGCTATAGGGTTCATGTTAAACAGTATGCGAGATCTTAACACAGTAGTCTTGGCTGGTCTCTATTCAGATAGCTGGGGTCTTTGTGGAAATGCAGCCTCATGATTAGTAGATAAGGGGGTCGGGGAAGAGGCCTAGGTTTTCTATTATAAAGAAGCTTCCTGGCTAGCCCTTTAAGTATTTAAAAACTCCACAATAAATACTTTCACATTCTTATATTTACATATACTTTCTTTTCAGTGGCGAGTGCCATGTGTGAAGTATGGGTTTTTAGTTCAAATATAATGACGTCCATTGCTTACCTAATTAGACTAATTCTGATGTTTTTACAGTAGACGTAGGCAATGAAGAAATTTTATGTTATTTGATCTCTTGCTTGTCTAAAGTTAGTCATTGGTAATATATTGCTATTTGTAGCTTGTATTAAACCTAGAGAAGCCTCATGACTACAAAAATGACCCTTTTGATTATGTGCTAATTATTGAGTAATCCAATTTGTTTAGTTATCTTTTTGCTCTAGTATCAGTTCCTTATTCAAAGTCTGGCTACTTCATTAGTATAGCCTAAGATAGTAAACCTAAAAATTGTGATGGTTATGCTGTGGTAATTTTATTTTACTTTTATGGATCTTTGTACCATAGAGAAGTGGACCTTTATTTTTCCATATTTCCTATAGGGGTGATAGTAGATTATATGGGCTGTTTACTAAGTCGCTGATTTGTCTGTTTAACATTTTGTGTATGTGCATGCATGTGCTGTGGACTTGTTTTATCAGGTATAAATATTATTTTCATTGGGTTTTTTAAAATTGTTTTTTATTTCAGTTGGAAAATTAAGTCAATGTATTTAATCAGTTATATTTGGTGGTAGTTTTGTTGCTATTAGATTGAAAAAAAAACACATTTTGTTTTTGTTTTTAGACAACCAGATGTTCCAATATTTTATTACAGTTGTGCCAACAAAATTACATACATACAAAATTTCAGCAGACACACATCAGTTTTCTGTGACAGAAAGGGTAAGTTGAAACTTCAGTGGTAAAAATTTGTGTTTCTTTTAGCATTTTAGTCTTCTGGGTATAAGATAAGATTGGAGTTTTAGTTGATGTCCTTCTCCATTTTAGAATTTGTGAAAGTTTTGCAATGAATCAGCATTTTTATTTTAAGCTAGAAATAAGAAATGGTATTTATGTTTCTGGAGCAGTTAAAAGTATATTAATATTGTAATGTGTTTCGTTACAGACTGGTATAAAACGTGTGGGTAATTCTATATCAGCCCACAGATTTAGAGCCTGCTCCCTGCATAATACTTTGTATTCATCTAATGAGTGTTTAGAAACCTCAGGATAAGAGGCTGGCTTTGTGCATAATGCTGACAGTGAGGGGCATGGTTTTATTTCACAAATGTATCTACTCTGGGGTTGTATTTTTTTATTTTTATGTTTAAGAATGGTAAATATTCAAAAGGTATCCAGAAGAATTTCAAGGCAAAATTTAGTGCTTTTTAAAATTTACTTTTCTATATATAGTTTTCTTTTGATGTTTTTGCAAGCCTACTATGACCAGTAGTTGTAGAATGTTTCCTATTCTTCTGAAATTAGATATTATTTTTATGGGTGAAGTATTATCTTTTCAAATGGATATATGTGCATACACGTACATTTTTTTTTTTAAAAGCTAAGATGTATGTAAGAATGTACTGTACTTACTAACATTATGTAGAGAGATAGTGTTTCTCACCTGTAAGTTTGACAAACACCTGGAAGACCATACAGTTGGCAAGGCTTTGGGGAAAACAGGTATACACATATTGCTCTGGGAATGCAAAATGCCATAATCTCTGTGCAAGGAAGTTTAGCAGCATCCTCAGATTGACCTGTGCCTTTACCTTTTGAACCCACAGACCCTCTTCTGGGACTCTTTTCTCATAATGAGAAAAACACAAAGGTATTATGTGTATGAGGATATTCTTTGTGTTGGACAAGACTAGAGACAACCTGTGCTCTGTGAAGTAGAAGGATGCGCCAAATAAGAGGACGCTTCCTATATCCTGACCTGAAATTATTTCCACATTATGTTTTAAAATAACAAAAATAGAATAGAAAGAAAAAATGTAGTAGAATCCCAGAGCATTTGATCTTTGGAGGGATGTATTTTTGTAGATAGAACATCTAAAATAATTTGTATTTCACTTTTTAAAAAAGAAGTGGAATACTGAGTTCGTAAGTTGCAGAATAAGGGAGCAAGGAAAGCAAGGACTGACCTTCACTGGACCAGGAGCTCAAAGTCAGTTATTATCAGCCTTTTGTTACCTAGATGCCCATTACTGAAACAGTTCCTCTGCCGTTTCCCTGCTTTTAGGAGCGAATCATCAACCATGCTGCAGGCAGCCATGGGGTCTCGGGGATATTTATGAAGTACGACCTCAGTTCTCTTATGGTGACAGTGACTGAGGAACACATGCCATTCTGGCAGTTTTTTGTAAGACTCTGTGGTATTGTTGGAGGAATCTTCTCTACAACAGGTTAACATTTATTTCCTTGTCTATTTTCTAAAAGTGTTTATTACACTTAGGATGTTTCTGCTTAAAGAGACCAAAAACATGCACATAAATATAACTAATCTTAAAATATTAAGTGATTTGAGAGAAATTATTTGCTGAGCTACAAATAAATGTCCTGAGTGAACAGAAAGAAAAACTTCGAATTGAGTACAGGGTCTGTCATTTACTTGAAAGTAACCTTGGATGTCATCTCTTCTGAAATTTTCTCATGTCAAATTATTTTCTTACTTTAAAGTGTAAATTTTCCTTTAAAGGTGGTTTTAGTTGTATACTGTTAACATCATGACTTACATGCAGTGAGTGAAACTAGATTTTTCAATGGTTTTGACTTTCTGACCAAGACTCTGGAATTCTCTCAAAAATTATTTGAAGCACTGTAATCATGAAAGTTTGAGTTAAGGGCAGAAAAGAAACAGTTGTAAATTCCTAGGAATTTTCTGCATACTTGTAAGTTTTAGATAGTTCAAATTTTACTTTTTATCTTTGGTTCCTATTTTAATTATTTTGATTATTGGAAGTTGTTAATGCAAAACTACGTTGCTTTCTTCCATAGTCTTTGTAGTTCATTGGGTTTTTTTTATTTTTATGTAACAATTTCAAAAATAATTAAAAGCATAACCTTATTGTTTATTACAGGCATGTTACATGGAATTGGAAAATTTATAGTAGAAATAATTTGCTGTCGTTTCAGACTTGGAGCCTATAAACCTGTACATTCTGTAAGTTATATTGTATATGGTACTGATCTCTTAAGTAAGAGTATTATTAGATCTAAATAGTTGCTTTTTGTGACCAAAAAGAATTTCCCTAAATATAATCTTTTGTTTAAAGGAAACTGTGAAGAATAAAACTAAGACTTGGCTTTTTCCCTTCCAGGTCCCCTGTGAGGATGGGCACACAGACAACCACTTACCTCTTTTAGAAAACAGTACACATTAGTACCTCCTGAGTGGAGAGAAACTTTTTGCCTGAGACACAAAATCTTTTTTAATAATAAAATAATTGTGCAATATATTCAAAGGAAAAATATGAATGAGAACCTGGAAAACACACTTATTTTAAAAAAAAAAAAAAGGAAAAAAAAAATCCGAACTAGAAACCTTGTAAATGCTGTGTCTGTTACAAAAGTTCTAGAGGAAGTTATGGCGTTTGTAGTGATAAGCCCATCTGGAGTGCTGTTCCAAGAAGGCTCCTGCTGCTTCCCCAGCAATTGGACTGTCAGAGTCAGACCCTGCTGCTTCGTGGTGGAAAACTGAAGGAAGGCGGGGAGCCCACTTATAAAGGAAAGAGCACTGAGAAGTGCACATGTTTGCGTCCTTCTGTTTTTAAAAGATATGGTGTAAGAATAAAATATGTAAAACATGGAAAACTAGTCTAGATTTTAAAAACCTGTGATGAGGTCACGTTGTTAATAAAGGAAAACAGGGACTAGTCCTTGTGTTATAGCCATATCGATGTTAAGCCATATTGACAAGACCATTTATCCAGTACTTCGCTGTTGGGAAGGGAAATAATTTTTTTCAACTCAGGATACTGGCTAATTGTTCAAGGCTTTCCCAGGGACAGTGTGTAAGTGCTATAATATGTAACAGACGTATTGCTTACAGGGTATGTAGTGAAGACTAGGGAGGAGAAGAAAGCACATTTCTAAAACAGACTTAAGTATCCTCATCTTGTCACTATGTTATTGATATTGAGGATCATAGGATTAGTAATGAAAAGATCCATTCTGATAGAAAGAAATGACTAGTTTTTAAAACATAAAGAGAAAGAATATTTTATACATGTGATGAGTGGGAACAGGGTAACTTTAAATGATATAAAAATGTGAGCCAAATGTTAAGTGTAAAAAAATGTCATATCTGACAGGTGCCATATTACAGTGTCCGTTAAACTAGGAAGCTAAATTATGAAAGGGTCATTGCATTCAGGATGCTCAATGTGATCGGTGAATTATATTAGGTTGTGTTGTTTCAATACTGTTTAAGGGATGGGTTTAAATTGCAAACTATAAAAGATTAAAATAATGAGAGGAAACTGCCATTAAAAACTATATTTGTAATACGTATGCCAATATCAGTTTTCATTTGTTACACTTACAGTAGACTAATCACCAGTCAATCCCCACAGTTTCAGTCATTTAGGGAAATAAGGAATCAAAGATCCATATAGGTAATGAAACTAAAAGATCAGTATTTAGTTCTTAGCAAATAACACCAAACAACTAGATTTGAAATGGTAGTTTTAGAATCAAGTCTAATGACATAGACCTATAATTCCAGCACTGTGAGGGTGAGGCAGGAGGATCAGAATTTGAGCTTACCCTGGACAACTTAGACCCTGTCTCAAGAAAGAAAAAAAAAAAAAAGATTTGAGCCATGGTTTCAGTGCCCATCACTGGGGGAGAAATAGCTTAGAGAATGGCATATCATAATTTACAGTTTTTAAATGAAGTTTTGATATTTAAAAGATTTTTAACAAGACAGTACTGGTGACAAGAGTTCATAACAAACTGCTTTGCAATGAGACTTAGGTAAAATGACATTTTGCATAAAACAGACACATCCTTGTTTAGAATGTGCAGTATCATGAGAACCATAAGGTGATACAACATGTTTCCAAAGATTTTTCTAATGTAGGAAATTCCAGTTACTAAGCCATTTCTGGATGGTTTTCAAATATTATTTCCAGCAAAGTTGGGATAGGAACAAATAAAACATTTCTCTAGGAATTTTAATTAAAAAGAATTACTAGTATCTTAGCTACTTCAGACTGAATGCTGGGACTCAAATTCAATCATTTGGGTTTTTTATTGAAATTTAAGATTACTTTCAGAATTATAACAAGTATTAAAAATAATTATTTTATACTTGGTTTTTAATTTTCATAAATGCTATGTTACATTTTTAATATTTAGCCCATTAAATCTAACTGTAAGGGTATTTCTTTAAAGTAAGGTCCTGCTTTGCCATTAACTTCTGTGTCAAATATTAAAAAAACTTGTATTTGAAAACCTGAAGTTTGTAAGGTCCTAGCTTTGGCACTGAAAGAATTAAAACTATGCAGGATGAAATAGAATCACATCGTAGAGTTTGCTAGGAATTTTTAGCCTCCCAAGTATTTCTTTTCCATTTTCAAACGCACTTAATGGACCTATTCACCCTGAGGGGCTGGCTCTCCAGCTAGATCTGTACAAGTGTCCTTTTCATTAGGGTATTCATAATGTCTGTTATGTATATGCTCCAGCCTACATACCTGAAAAGCCTACATATTTTAAAGACCTCGAATTTGCAGTGTATTTTGAACTGTTATACATTGGCCTATACAGAAGATAATAAGTCTTTGAGGAGAGTAATTCACTGCTGCAGTGTTTGTACACTTCATACTACCTTTTAGGAAAAGTTTAGCTCAGTATTAAGATTCTCAGTTTACATAATATATACCTTTTTTCACTTTTTTTTAACAAATTCGCATTTTTGTAATTAGTATCCAAATTTCTAATCTTTAATGGAATCACTATTCAATTTGTAAAGAAATTATGAGCTAATATTTTAATAGCACAAGTATACTACGTTGTATTTTATCTTTTTAATGTTATGGGTTAGTAACCTATACTTTTCCTTCTATTCTGAGCTCTAGCAAATGTTTGGCAAGCCAACTATGACACCTTCAGAGTAAATATGGCAGCAGACCACTTGTGTACTGCTTGTGGTAGAAACCTTGGATCAGTTTTCTGTACTCTTGTATTATGTTAGGATCAAAATATAGTTTTTCCTCCTTTCTGAAATATTTGAGTGACAAAATCAACTTGCTTTTTTTTTTTTTTTGGATCTTTTTGAGAAAGGGTGTCTATGCAGTTCAGGCTGGTCTCTGACGTGCAACAATCCTGCCCCAGACTTCCAAGTGCTAGGATTATAGGTATGTGCCACCGTGCCTGGCAGTTTTGCATTATTTTAAGAGTAGAAAACTGATTTATTTGGATTCTCTTTTTCCTTTTTGTAGCTTTTTAAGGAGGAAAAACATAAAAAAAAATTGTCTCAAAAATATTTGAATTCTAAATAAAATGACAAATTATAAAATGTTTTTCTTAGTTTTTTCATACTGGTAGAAAATTAAGATCATGTTACTCCAAAGCAACCTCAGTTCCTCTTAAATTTTTTTCTCGAGGAAAACTATATGAATCTTTAAATATCACTTAAGTTTGCTTTTCCTTCAAATAGAGCTAAAACGCTCTGGGATTGGATTTTGTACTTAAAGGTGAAAGCAGAAAATTGAACAGTTGACTCGTGTGCCTATAAACCTGTTTACAGAGTTGAATATAAAGACTACAATTAGTAAAGCATTTAGTTTTGTTTTCAAAATTCCTAATATTGGATGTTTAACAAAAAGCTAAAACTTTCAGATATTGTAGCTCATTTATGTGATCTTATATAATAATTTGAATGTAAGCCCACTCAGGCCTTAATGAGAAGGCGTGGGAAAAAATACTAAGGAAAGCTGTTTAGGAGAGCAGTAGTTTGAGTAAGTATAACTAAATTCTTCCTTTTTTATCAGGCCATTATACAAACCACTTTGTTGTTCATATTTACCTTTTTTGTTTGTTTGTTTTGTCAAACCTAAGTCCCTGAGAATACCCGCAGGCTAAGCTTTTATTTCTGTATTTTTCTAAAATTGACATAGGTTTCCCTACTCTCCACCCATACTCAGTTCTGGTTACAATCAATATTTCAAATAAAATCCCTATTAACCTAAGTATAGGTTAATAAAATCCCTACACACTTAAAATGTTCCAGTATCATCAGAAGGACATTTCTGCCTATTTAAACTGAATTTCACCTAATGTCTTTTGCTATAGTAATAGCTGCACTACACGGGATTACAGTATCACTCTCTTACCTTATAACCAGCAATTTCTAGTGTCAGTTTTTATAACCATTTTTGAAAGTACTCCAAGCATTTTTCCATTCTTTTGCTTCTTACACACACTTGGATTCCCAGACAATAGAAGAGAAATTCTGAAAAAGTAGCCATGATGTTTTTGCCAACTGTTGGCTGATTTTTATATATGTTGTGAGATGGATTATGTGGATGTTAGGCTTGTCTATTTCAAGATTCTAAAGATGTAAAAGAATGTTAATTGGAGGTGATAGCAGGTTATTGTAAGAGAAGCGTTTTTCTGATGGTTGCCCATCTGCCCCAGTTTTTTCCAGTGTTAATAGTGTTAAGCAGTGACTGTCTATAATATTTGGTACTGTATCAAATGTGAGTGTAGAAGATGGGTGTTACAAGATCTTTTTTAAAAACATAGGTGCTGATTCCTTGTACTCTTCATCTCTTCTCCAAAGGAGTAGTATATGTTAAGCATTCAAGTAACATTCTGTAATTAATTGCTAGGGACTTCCTTTGCTATAATGATGGTGTCAGAAAATAGCGAAGCAGTATGTGTCTGTATGTTTATGTTCATCTGAGTTATTCCTGTGTTTTGATATGGTTGAAGAGTTCTTCAAAAGACTTTTCCTTTCTCCTGGTGAGAGGTGTCTGGGGAGATCTGCAGTAGTCAGCTGTTAAAAGACAACACTGAGGAAGAGTGTTTTCTGATTCAAAGTTTATTTAGTCCAGAGTCAAAATGTGATCAGTGGAGTTAATGAAGTGATCAAACTTACAGTAATTAAAAGATAGTCAATTCTTAGAACCATTTTTATCCAATTCCATTGAATACTGATTTCATAATTTTATCCCCATAATTTTTATTTTAACTGCTGTGTCTCAGAAGTATTATGCAGGCATCTCAAAGTACACAACAGCAGTGCTTGCTCAGAGCGGAGTTTTCTGCCATGGACAGTGGTCCCCAGATCTTAGATTATGTGGAAAAGTCACTGCAGAAGGGTTTCCCCAAAATGCCTCCATGTAACCCAGGAAGGTCTCAAATACTCTACTGCCTGTAGGAATTTGTGCACTTCTTGAATATCAGTTATTCTAAAAAGTGAGCAGAAACATTTTATTCTGTGTTAACATTTTAAACCTGTGTAGTTTTCAACTGGTTATATAATGATTACTTTTTAGTTAGTTGGGTCCCAGATGCTATATTTGAGTAATAGTACATGTTAGCAAAAAAAAAAACCAAAAAAACCTAACATGCACTGATCTCAAAAGATGAGGAAAGTGGGAATAACAATTATTAGTACAGAAATCTGAAAATATAACGTTTTTACTATGTAATATATGGAAAACATTTTAAGCAAAATAAGCCTCTGCTTCTCTATGGTACACTGTATTGTACGGTTAACATAGAGTTAGAATGGTCAGAACTCTTACCTCCTGTGATCTTGTCCACTTTATGAAACACTAAAATTAGAATTTTAAGTTTTTATCTCAAATTTTGCTTTCTTTAATGAGAAAGATTAGGTGCCTAGATTTTTATAATTCTGATCTATGAGAGCTTTTCCCTCTCCAGTTAGCCACACCAGCTGAGGCCCCAGTAAAATAACCTTAAATATAAAGGCTTCGAAAAACTTCAGTGAGTAAGAAGATAACTCAAGATTATCAGGAAAGCCAGGTATGATGATACATGGCTGTAATCCCAAAACTTGGGAAGCTGAGACAGGAGAATTCTTGAGTTCAAGACCAACCTGAGATCTTGCAAGACCCTGTCTCCAAGAAATAAAGATCAGGAAAACTACTGATTAAAAAGATGTAGAATAAAACTTCCACTGTGAGAAGACTAGAGTCCCTAATATAAATGTTTAAGTTCTCATACTATGTGTATTATTTATACTAATTTCTAGACTGAAGCATATATAAAAATGGTAAAACCGTAATTAATGTTTCTAGTGTCGCCCCCTCCCCGCCAAGATTTAGACATTTCCCATGGCAGTGGTGTTTCACAGCTTCTATGAGGATGTTTAGAGCCCTATTCTTACCTTGATTTCTAGGGCTCAAACGTTCTGCCTTTTGTCTTAAAGCTTTTGGCTTTTACCCTGTGTTTCTCCATATTTATTGTGTTGAATTAACTGTCTTAAAAGCTAAATGTAGAACAACGGTAGCACTTTGATGTTTAATGTGCAGGAGCATAGAGTATCAGAAAACCATCTGGAAGTGACTTTTTCATAAAATACATACAGCTATAGGTGGGCTTATGACGTACGTTCTCTTGCTGAAATAAAAAGAATGTACCGTTAGGAAACAGGGCTGAATACACAGTCATGTTTGCCACTGGAGAGCATGGGCACACTCATTACTTCCCAGTCGTGAGAACCACAGCTTACTGTTCTAGAGGTATGGAAGGGTGCCAGTGAAGCTGACTGCTGCACGTTCTTAGAACTTAAGTGTGCTGGATGCCCGGAAGTAGGACAGGAACTTGAAGCAGTAGGTAACAATGAAGAACCAGATGTTCCGTGCCATCTGCCATCGTGCAATGAGCAGGCGCCAGATGATGAGAAAGAGGGCGACATTAAAGAGGTAGTGAATGTTTCGGAGCCTGGGGACAGACAGAAACAAGTTAGATACTGAGTGTCTGCTGACTTGATGGCCTTTTCAGTTTCCGTATTTCCACAACAATCCTTTGAATAATTAGATTTCCACCATCTTTTCCAGTTTTTCCCTTATCTGCTTCTGTTGAAACTTAGCACAACTGCTTCAAACATACACTTCACTCTCAATACCACATTATGGATTTTGCTGCTGGTTGTTCATTAGAGTGAATTCTGAAGTTTTTCGCCTGCTTTTCAGTCCTGTTTGCAATATGCTTTTCCATGCTTATCTCTGCACTACAGACTTCTCTTATACCAGAATTGCTACCTGCATGCTGTAATTCTTCATCCCTCAAAGTTATGAGAATGAAGCAGGGTTAATGACACCCCACACCAGCATGATCAGGTTCCTGTCCTTGTGTAGTCTTCACACTGCATCATAGTAGAGTGGCAGTAAAACAGAAATTTGTGTTCAAAACTGGCTTCTTCCTGACTGTATTATCATGGACAAGTTCCTTGCTTGTCTTTGAGACTCGTGTGATAAAAATGCCACACCAAAACCAATACTTGCCTCTGGAGCGGGGAAGTATACATGACGCAGTGTGTTCTAGGACAGCACAGAGGACAGGGCTGCAGTGAGAACCCAGGAGTTCAGCGCCCCTCCCCTGCTCGTGTCAAGCCTGCTGTGAACGCTGAGTCACAATAGTTTCGCTAAGTATAACCGAGCTTACCTTTTCAAGTGTTGCCTGGCTTCCGGGATCCCTGCCATGTCCTCTTTCAGCAAGTACTTCTTCACTCCCAGCACGTAGTTCTCGATGTACTCCAGCCAGTTGAGCTGGCGCACGTCGAAGTTGAACATCTGTGAGGGAAGACAGTGAGCTGCTGGCGCGGTCCCACGGGTCTGCCACCGTGCCCACCCGGGGAAACTTTACGTAAATCTGGGACGTTCGGCTTGGGAAACCTAAGTTGGATGCTGCTAAAGCAGAGGTCGTTGGTGCTGACATTTCAGAAGTGTTGATAATATGCACTGTGCTTTGCATACAAACATTTAAACATGAGTCAAGCAGCAACCAGGGGCTTTGGGAAGTCCAAGGAAAATATAAGGGAACTGGTATTACTTCGTTTGGTGAGTGTTTGCAATTGGCTTGGTATATATTCTCAAGTACCTGAGGAACAATTGTTTTTAAAATAGTGACAGAATAGTAGGTTAGTGACCAAAGTGAATTAAGCATCTTTGCCTTTTCCCTTAAATTTTAGTGCCTTCCCCAAGCCTACTGTCCTCTCTTCTGCCCACAACACCTCATTCTGTAGTGAAGTGCAAACTTTGGAGACTCCCGAGTCTCCAGGGCTTGGGGAGGGATTTGCGCCTCAAGTAGTACATGACAGAGGTCCTCAGAGGGCCGAGGAAGGGTTGCCTCTAGTGTAAGGAGAGAGGTTTTAACTTTCTCTTCCATGATTACAAATGCATTTTCTGGTTTGTTACTGAAGAGCTGAAGCAAAGATCTGAACTGCTTTCGATTTTATTTCTGCATTGATGAGATAAGACTAGAAGAGGACACAGAGTCTTCCCACCCCCTTTGTGGTAGTGTTGCAGAGTGAATCTTGTCAATCAGTGAGTTTGGCATGAGAAGTTTTTAGTTGATTTATTTAGAAAGAATTAAAAAAAATTAACTTGCCAGCATTAAAAGAATGGTTCGATATTTAATAAATCTTAGCAAATGTTAAACCTGATTAAGCTTCAGCTGAGGCTTAAGAAAGGATTTAATCTTACAGTAAAAAAAATCTTAATTCAAATGAATGATGATCCATGAACAATAACTGGCACACTGTAGGCATTCAGTAAGTATTTGCTGAATGCATGAGTTCATTATCAAATTTTAGTCAAGTTAACTGTTAGTATTAATCTCATTTATTTTATTTATTTTTGTGGTGCAGGGAAAAAAAAAACCTCAGACTGTGCATGCCACGCAGGTGCTGCACCACTGAATTACAGCCCAGCTTCTTAATTTTAACAACTGAGAACTTTTTAATTACATAGCACATTCTCTGATTTGATCTTTACATAAGTTTATATGGATATCACCAAATTAGACTTAGTTTTCTGTTTTTCAGACAGGTAGTCTTTGATAGAAGCTTTGTACCAAATAAAAGGTTTAAATTGTCAAAACAAAATTATCACTAAAAGTCAAATTTCTTGACTTTAAAATGGCCTTGCTACTTCCGAGAACCTTGTGGATATATTTCAGTAATGTGCATCTTTCCTTTATGATCTGCTGGAAATAGTAAAGATGTAAAGAATGTCATGTTTGGCATCTTAAAGATTTAATAGTTTTCTGGGCTCTAATTCTGCCTTTCTTATCTGCAAATGAGAATGTTATGTATTGATCAGACAGAACCATTTTAGACCTGGGAGGCAGTAACAACCAAATACAATATCCCTATTTGATATTAGAAGCATTCAATGAGCACTTCTTTACTGAACTGCCCTTTGCTGATTTGTTAACACTTTTGCGCTTGTTTATTCCTTTCAACTTTCATGGGACAACATGACAAGAAATAACTTTAAAAAGTTGTTACTGTATTAGCTTTAGATATATTACCCACTATGTCTTTCAGCCTTTAGAGGAAGCACTTCAGGAGCATTTCAACTGGAGTTAAATACTGAGAGAAGCTTTGTTTTTCTTGCAACACCAGTACATTTTCTCCTTTTGGGCAGTAATTTCTCTGTAATTATATCATCCTGTTCACTTTGCCACCATAAGAAAGCTCAGGAACAAGTGCCATGCTTAACTACAGCGACTTTGCAGGCTTCTGAACTAATGTAGCCCTATCATTTGTATTCTTAGCTGTGACTTCATGTTCTGGTCTGCATTTTCCTCAGTTTGGTGCTTTATTTTTGTTTCACCCATTTATTGTTTATATCAATTCATGGTATAGAAACCTTTGTGAGTTTTAGAATATCAGGAGAGTCCCACAGAGCTTAGATGTGTTGAAGCCAAGCTCTTTCTATCATTTTTCTTGGGTATATTTTCCATTTATCACTATGTATTATTTATTTGCATATATAAACAAAGGTTTTATTTTTACACTGTTTCACATTCTTAAGATAGATTTGAATGAGGTTCTACTTTGAAATCTCTGATTCCATGTGGAAAATCAAACTGAATTCCCAATATACCAGAGTTTGGCAGTTACATTTAAGACCATTACTTTTGCTAAAATATATGGAGAGCATATGTAGTAGCCACTGAAACTTTAACTGTTTTTCTACTTTTAATCATTTTTGGTTAAAATAGTTCAGGCCAGGCATGGTGGCACATGCCTATAGAGTCAGGGCTCAGGAGATTGAGGCAGGAGGGTGGTGAATTGCAAGTTCAAAGCCTGGACTACATAGCCAGAGGTGTCTCAAAAAAAAAAAAAAAAAAAAAAAAAAGAAAAAGAAAAAGAAAGTCTGTTAGTAAGGACATGCTCAGGGAATGCCTAACACATGTAACTCTAAGGGGAGAAGAACAGGAACTTGAACAAAACAGACACATAAAACTCTCTGTGTTTGTGAATTTTAGGATATGAAAGATTTTAGGGCTTAACCTTTGACTACCCAGAAGCTAAAGAAATAAACAGTGCTAAAGTCAGACAAATGGTGGTCTATTTTAAGAAACAGTGTGAAGTACTGAAGAGATGTAGGAAGGCGGTCTGACTGGGACAGACAGCCGTGACAGGGCAGGGTGGCAGGGAGGATGTGTGCCACAGGGCAGCCTTTCAGAGGACAAGGGCAGGGCTGACTTCAGTGCGGAGGGACCACAGTTGTAATTGCATAAGAACGCAGTGGGGCAGCAGGCAATGAGACTGTGTGCCACGGAAGCCATCGAAGTACAAGGCTGGTAGCAGAAATGACACGGCTGGATATGGACAGCACAGTGACCAACAAACAGCAGAGCACAGACTTCACTGAAGTCCAAGAACCGGGGGCTCTTACCTGCATTGAACTGGTTTCCTGTGACTGTACTGATAGCACTGCCAGGTTTTCCTAGCAAAAGTGAGATAAAATAAACCCGCCTCTATGACCAGAACTACCTTTATCAATCTGATGGCTCAAATAACCAAATTCTAGACCAGCACAGCTTCCTGCCATTGGCAGCCTGGCTGTGCTCACCCTCTGGTCCTCAGGACTCAGCATCGACATCAGCATCTCTGTGTTGTGTGTGCTCCACTCCCAGCTGTGGTTGACGAAGTACTCCAGCATGGAGAGCATTCTGAGCATTCGGTTCATGAGCTTTGTCACCCTGCAGGAGAGATGAGACAGACGCAGTTAGAGGCCTCTTCCCGCTCAGTGTGTAAAGATGATGTTTCTAACCCACTCTACAGGAAGGAAAGGAACAGACTTTATGGCATCTCAAAGCAGCCAACCATTCACTTCATAGTCCTGCTGTTCATTTATTGAATCCTGAGGTAGACAGTTGGAAAGCTTATTTGTGTTTATTATAAATTCTTGGTTTTTTTTTTTTTTTCCAAATGAGTAGGATCTAAGACTGTAGTACATAACTTGGCAAAAGTGTTAACTATCCTGCTATCCCATGAACAAAAACAATTGTTAATTCTAATACAGATTTCAGGAGAAAATTTATTGCTGATAACCTACTTCTATTAGTTATACCACTGATACTTGTAAAAATATTATTTGCTAATTTTCCTAACAGCCTGGTCAGTAGATATTTGTCTACATTTTTATTAATGGCTAACATAAGCTTAAGGCCAGTTGAAAGCTAAAATTGCAAACCAGTTTTGACAGATCTCAAAACACCTTGTCTTGTGTAATCTTACTCTGTGTTCCATTACTTACAAGAGATCAAGTCTTCCAATCCAGTGGTTAGAAACTGAACCAGCTCTTCTGTTATGAATCGCTCAGGTTCATAAACTGATACTTTCATATGTTTTTTTTTTTAACTTTTTATTTTAAAAAGCAAAACAGAAAAAAAGGATAGAAATGATACAGAATTTCAAAAAAGAAAAAAGTAGGGAATTAATACTAGTTAATATATTGCATATTGTTATCTCAGAACTAGTTGCTTAGGTTACAAAATCTTGACACAAAAATGATCAATCAAACAATGACAGCATAAACTGTTCTTTTTGATGAACTAAGATTAGTAGATAGCTATTTATCTAGCATATGTATACACATATATTTACATATGTTTACCAACATACATACAGTCTTTTCCTTTCTTCCTCTTTCCTTTCCCCATCCAAGCAGTTCTTTGTCCTTTTGAGCACTTTCTTTCCCCTTCATTATTACAATATGTATTGTATAATTTGGATCTTATTACTCTTTCAGATTTTTATTTTTAGTTTTTTATATGAGGGAGACAATATTTATAAATGTGAGTTTGATTTATTTCACTTATGAGTATAGCCTCGGCTCTGCACAATGTAACTGTGAGGTAGTCAGGAGTTATTTGTATTCATTTTACAAAAGATTATGTTCAGGGTCACTGTAGCTGATGTTCCAGCCTAGTTCTCTCAGCTACAAATTATCTTGGACTATTGAGAAAACTTGATTTTTGTCTTAGCTAAGCCAGACTTGGTAGCAGTGATTGCGACAGTCGACTTAGTAATGGTTGATGATGCTGTTCTGAGGGTTTGGTCTTATTCTGATTAAATTCTAATGCTCATGCACCTAATGACTTGTGAGACACTATTCCCATTGTGTCATCGGGAATCTCTTTGATACAAGGACCAGAATAGAGTTAGTAACTCTGATTTCAATTTTCATTCATGTCCCAACTCTAGTGCACTTTGATGTGACTCCAACAGATTTAATTTTTAAAAATAATGTTTATACAGTGTTACTGTCTGTAAGGGACGATATCAACCTTATGGCATTTTTTAAAGAAAAAATATTTTACAGAAAAAATATATATTATATAAAAGAAGAGAATGATTCATTTTACTATATAACAATTTAAAACTTCTTTAGTAATAATAGTGATTATATAGTCTAGGCATTATGTGTATACACATAAGGCCTATCCCCTTTCTACAAAGGAAAAATTTGGAATTTAAAATGATGGAGAAATTTTAAGAGCTCATACGGCTAAACAAGTCTGACTCTAAATTTCATGCTCTTACTCTATGACAGGCATGTACACTTGTATTAGAAAAGGCCTCATAATCAAAACTAAACAATAAAAAAAGAGACTTGAAGAAAACATGTGAAATATACCTTCATAACACATACATGAAAGTTTTCGTAACAGGGACATCCCACTAGAAAAAATAGGCAAAGAACAGAAGCAGACAACTCACAGAGGAGAAAAGAAAACTTGAATGTCCAATAAACAAATGAAAGTTCAGCTCCTCCAGCAATCAGGGGAATGAAAATCTAACAATGAGATTTAATTTCTCATAAGTCTGATGAAAGATTGATTCTTGGAAAGTAGTAACAATGATGGGAACCATACACCATTTTGTACCCACAACAATGTCAATTGACAGTCTTTTCTTTAGGGCAAAACACCTATGTACCGGCAGTCTAGGTCCTGAGCATCCTCCCCAGATTCAGGAGCATGTTTTGTAAATGGGCAGGGGCAGGAGTGATGACAGCGATTGGCCTGGGGTTTTTTGTTTGTTTGTTGTTTTTTTGTAGAGGGAGAAGGAGGAGAAAACTGGGCAGAATGACAGGGTTTCATGGAAAGTGGTGAGAAAGTTAAAGGCTATGTATGACTGATTTATGTGTAACACATACATCTCTACCTTACTGTAAGAATAGACTTATAAATGTTCATTTGTGATGTAAAGACCTAGACAACTGCATATAACTACACCAGAAAGGAAAACGGATTAGGTGGATTTTTGCTTTTTCTTCCACAAGGATTATTGTTAAAGTTCATATTACAAAACAACCCATTTCCCATTAAAATTTAATAGCTCACAAACACACATTTTTCACAAACAAAATACTCACTTGCTTTTATTACCTCTCTCTCCTGTGTTTTTTATTACTTACTGAACCTGACTCTTTCTTTAGGCCACTTTTTTTTTGTCTTTTTTTTTTTTTATCAGTACCGGGTATTGAACTCACGACTGCCTGCTTGCAGGGCAGGCACTTATGCCACTGAGCTAAATCCCCAGCCCCAGGCCACTTTTTGATTCTGACATTTTGAAAGCCCCCAAATATTTTCCACATAGTCTTTACCCAACTTAAGAAGACTTACAAGCTCAAAACAAAGCCTTTGAAAATTGGGTAAGTTGTAGTCCCAAGAGGGCCAGTACAGGAGCCATGGGCTGATTCTTGATCACATAACTGCCCTTGGTAATTATAAGGATGAGACCTCTGACACACAAAATATTGTCCAGATGAGGCAGAGATAAAGATGTGCCCTGTGTCACACATACCACCTGAGGGTGACAATACTGCCTTTCCACCAGTGTCTATCCACCATCACACGTCTCTCTAGGTGCAGTCAGTCTAGCTCCTGATGCTGGCTTTGAGATTGCTTTCCCACACTCTACCTCTACCAAGCCTTCCGGACGAATCCCCTAGCTTCTGTGTCCTGCCTTGTCACCCCGAGTGTGGGCACAACAGTGGGACTGCGAGAGGCCTTTCCCCATGACGGCCATGTAGGGAGCGCTCCTCAAGGGAGCCACTGCTGTTCTGGTTAGGATGAACTATTTGGAAAACCCAGGGACAAGGTCCCAGTTGCTTTTCTTTTTAAATGTATGATTATTTGCTGAATACATCAGGCAAGTTCCTTAATGTTACTTTTAAAGATTACATTGGAGGATTTTTAATATAGCAGTGAGTTATGGTTTCTCACCTGCCCCGTACTGGGAATGGAACCAGAGTCTTCACACAGAGCTACATCCCCAGCCATTATATTGTTGTTGATGTTTTACTTATCTATTTTGAAGTAGCAATTCACTAAATTGCTAAACTGCCCAGCCTGGGCTTGAACTTGCTATTCACTTATCTCAGCATGTCAGAGTTTTGGAATTACAAGTATGTGCCTTCATTCATACCTGGCTTCTTGTACTGCTTTTGACTCAATGACTCTGTGTGTGTGTGTGTGTGTGTGTGTGTGTGTGTGTGTGTGTGTGTATGTGTGTGTGTCTATGCGCGCACACGTGCGTGTGTGGCACTCTGGTATCTCCTATGACCCTCGGCAGGAGGGAGGACTGCAGATGCGGGCCCTGGACTCCCAGGTTAGTGGCACCCTTGAGGGTGGTGCCCAGCCCCTCACCTGGGCTTTCTCCCAGTAAGCCGCAGGTAGATGTCGTAGATGACGGCAGGGGCCCGGTGGCTGACTGCGTTCCAGTAGTGGTTTGTGAAGCTGGTGGTTGTGAAGTTAGCCTTTGGTCTCCTGAAAGCTTTCTCAAATGGGACCTTTTCAAAGGTTTCCAAAACGTGTAATCCTGAGAAATAAGAAAAAGAGCTTAGCTTCAGGTCATTGAAGTCCTGCACACTGGAAGACACCTGTCATGGGTCAAAGTAATGGAGACCAAGGATCTGATGCATAGAGTTCAGAGTCAACTTCTGAGAAGAATTTGGTGATTCCTATGCTGGGCAGATTTTTATGCAAGCCAAATGATGGAAAGGAGCTAAGAAATCTTTTTATTGAAACAGTTACTATCTAATAAATTCATGGGAAAAATTTCATCAAATACAGAAACTGAACATAACTGATCATTCAATTCCAGTGTTACCTAGTGTATTCAGAAAGACCCAAGACAGAGGCTAGGGGCTACACTTCCAGGGTTGTATCATTGGGAATCATTGGGAATTTCTTAACAGTTAAGCTTTAAGGCTGAACTCTTTTTCTCTTTTCTCCTTTCCTTGTTTCTTTCTTTTTCTATTTTTTCTCCTTTCTTCTTTGTTTTGTTTTTGTTTTTTGAGGTAAGAGTCTCACTTATTAGGTAAGTTATTAGCCCAAAATGGACTTGAACTCACATTTTAAAATGGACTAAAAGACAAATACTTAACAATGATAATGCAGAAACTGAATGCTTGCAAAATCCTATAAGTGTTAAAGAAATTGAAGCTGTAAGAATCTTCCCACAATAGGGCCAGGGATTTAGCTCAGCAGCACAAGTGCTTTCTGGCAAGTGTGAAGTCATGAGTTGAATCCCTGGTGCCAAACAACAACAACAACAAAAATGCTCACAATAAAATCACAAATCCAAATAATTTACAGGTGATTTTACCAAACTTTCAAAGAATAGACTACTCTGATCTTATACAAAGACTTAATAAAGAATAGGAGAAAAAAGAAATATACTTCAATCCATTCTCTAAAGTTGATATACTAAAGCCAAAATTAGTCAAGACACAAAAGTGTAAACTTATTTTACTCAAGAAATAATACCAAATTATTAACCAAGTGAATCCAACAGATTATGAAAAAGAGCATACTGTGAACTGGTGGGTTTATCTTTAGGATGGCAGATAGCTTCATATTCATAAATAGGGGAACATTTGCAGTCTTTTGTTTAAAATTAGCAACACAACAATAATGTCCACTATGGCCAGAGATATAGTTCAGTATCATGGCAAGTGTGAGATCCTGAGTTTGATTCCTGGTACCAATAATAATAATAATAATACCCACAACTACCACTTCTATTCAACATTGTATTAAAAGTTCAACAGCAACAACAACTCAGTGTATGGTAAGATAGGAGTAACTATTTATATTGATTAACTGTTTACATAGAAAACTTAAAGGAAATTATGTTCAACTACTAGAAATTCAGGTTGAGTATCCTTTATCTTAAAATGCTTGGGAAGAAGTGTTTTGGATCTTGGGTTTTTGAGATTTTGGAGAGATATTCTGTCTATATATATGTAAAGAGATGTTTCTGGGTGGAGCTTAAGTTTAAATATGAAATTTATATTTCTTACATATTTTATACACATAGTCTAAAGGTAATTTTATACCATACTATTCTTTTTTATAATTTTGTGCATGAAACAAAGTACATTAGGTCATCAAAGTCATGAACTCATATCAGCACTCAAACTATTTTAGATTTTGGAGCCTTTCAGATTTCAAATTTTCAGATTAAGGACACCAGCTTATAATAGTTATCAAGGATGTTGGATATAAGGTTAACATACAAATATACAAGTCAATTGCAGTTCTATGCATTATCACCAGTAGAAAATTTTTCATCATGAAAGTCCCATTTATATTGTCAAAAAGTGTTAAATTTCTTGAACTACAGATATAAATCTGGTAAACCATGTATAACACCATATGCAAAAGATTGAAATCTTTTAGTGAAAACATTAATGGAAGTAACAGTGGGAGATTCATGTTCATTCACCCAGCTGTCACCACTGTGTGAGTTCACTTGAGGCCAAGGATGTTCCCCTGCCATGATGCTGCTAGTGACCCTTACTGAAGCATTTTGATTAGTACTAGTAATGAAAGTGAGTTTTATTTTGAATGCAAAATCAAATGAATCAGCAATAATGTCCAGACATGCTGTTAAAACGGATTGTCATTCAGAGACTTGGCACTGCGGGGAATCTTTGCACTGAGCCAATGCTCACACTGTCACTCTGGTTAGAGAGGAGTAGAGCAGACATACAAGCCAAGTCTTGGTCATCCTTACAAAAGGGTTCTTAAAGTCAAAGCCTGTCTTCCAACAAGGCATAGTGCCGCGCTGCTCTGCAGTGCTTTCAGTTTGGTACCATGGTTTACCAGTAGAATGTATAAAGATACTGTTAACCACATGACAGGAAAAGGAGAGAGAGTTAGGGGGCTCTGAAAATCCTGCAGGAGAGGTAAACTGCCTGCCTTTACTCTCTACCAACATTAGATGTTTGGATTTATGTCCATGGGTTTCATACATTAAACGAATTCCATCCCTTTCCTGCAGACAAACAGAGATATTGGATGGGATAGAGTATCTTAAAGTGGATCTCACTGGCATCCATAATCATAGATGCTAGCTAAAACTATGGTTTCAAAGCAAGCCTGAGCAGCAAGACTCTGTCTCAAAAACAAAACAAAACAAAACAAAACAAAACACAAAACAGTGTGGCTTCTGAGAGAGGCTTTAGGCCAGAGTTCAGAGAGGATTTCCAGAGACCCAGTGGGCCCTGGGGCAGGGTCTTCGCTGTGAATCAGAGCGTTAGCGGGAAAGATGCTCCATGCACATCGCACATTGATGCTAGCATCCGGAGCACTGCGGAGGGGGAGCAGGGCGAGGGGGCCACAGCGGCACTGCAAGCCTCAGGGAGAGCCTGATACCCAGAACCCAGAAGTGGGAGTGCGGCAGGACCGGACTCTTCTCCGTCACCTCTGCTCCAAGTAGCACCTTGGCATGCTGAGGATGGGAACCCAGACCAACAGGACCCAGGTACATGCCCAAGCAGACTCTCCCACCCCAGAGCGCAGGGGCTGCAAGTGCCGGATTGGAACGCCCAGGACCTCCCGCTGTGGGCTGGTACCGGTGCAGGGAGTCCTGAGCAGCCAAGCGGCACAGCCTGGTCCCTGCCTCTGCAGAGAGGAGGATGCTCCCGGCTGTGTTTGTTGGAGTTTTGAGTGCAAGAGAAAAGCGGTGAGTTGGCATGGCTGCCTGCAGTTGGACTGCAAGCAAATCAAGAAGGGAGCTGGAAACTCTCCAGCTTTTTGGCTAAGTGGTCCCATGTGACTCACAGGTACAGTCTCTTGTTGCGTGTTTGAGATATATACACACGTGTAGGTATATATAAATATTTTTCCAATATGTATAATATAATATACAAGGGTTTTTTTTTGCTTTGATTTAATGGTGTTTATTTTCTCTTCTCTTTCTCATCATTGTCTCCTTGTTTTCAACTCGTTTCCATAGCAATACTACTTTCTTATTTCTCCCAGTTTTTAAAGTATTTCTCTGAAAGTGTTAGTTCACCATATTCTGCTGTCAGTCCTGTCTTCTCTTGAATTGGCCCTCTGCTTCTCTGTTCCATTCATTTGGCATTCCGTATCTCACGTGGCCCCTGGTCATTTCTTGTCTCTTTTCCACTTTCTAGGTGCACATGTGTATCAACAGGTTCTGACAACCTCAAACCTTTCCTCAGTCCAAAGTGCACCTTCTTCCTGCTGCATCCTGTCTTCTTCCGGCAAATATCTTAAAACTCTCAGCTCCAGCCCTTCAACCCAACTACAAGACCTCCGACAGAGTCCAATCCCATATCTAATTTATTTTCCACCTAGTGCCATTCCTCCTATCTGCTCTCCCCCTCCTGACCTAGATTCCTCTTTTACCCATCCTTCCACTTCTTCATCCACACTGAAAGTAGGCTGCAAAGAGTACTCGTAAGGGTGAAAGTATAAATGCAACGTCTACCACATAGAAGCGAAGGATCTGTGATGCTGTTATAACCACAAGTAATTGCTTCCTCACAACACAGGTAAGAGTCAAAATCACTTATATTAAGTGCCTGAAGGGGTATATATTGTCCTTGGGAAAATAAAGTTGAAAACATCACAAGAAGGCAGTATTTTACAAAAAGATCATATCAATTACAAGCTCTCCTTACCCTACTTGACTTCAACTTTGGGCACCAAAAAAGAAAGTGTTGGGGGTACTATACACATAGGGACATGGGAAAACAAGGCAAAAAAGACTCCTAATGTCTCCCACCTTCCTTAAGACATGCAGGGAGCAACCACTGAAAGGAAAGCAAACCTCAGGTAGCAGAGCTTTACAAACCGAAGAGTTAAAGAAACTTGGTGAGTTCAAATAGGGCATGACCCAAAAATTGATGGAATTATACAAAATGACCAGTGTAGACTTTGGGAAAATAAATGAAACCTTGGAAGAGTTGACAAAAATGGTTCCAAACATGAATGACAAATTTACCAAAGATATAGAATCTTAAAAAAGTCTAGATATACTAGATATAAAAAAATTATACAGAATTCATAAATTGCAGAAATGAATGATGTTAATATAGTTTCTATAATCAAGGACAAAATGGTAAATTATGACAAATTACTCAAAGAAGCCTCAAAAAAGATATGTGAACAAGAAAAATTTATCCAATAGCTACTAAAAAAGACACTAAAAAAGACCAGCCTAAGGTTAATTGGAGTTAAAGAGAAGCCAGAAAACAGCACACATGGAATAATACCTTTGTTTATAGAAATCATAGTAGAAAACTTTCCAAGTATGAGGAAAGAATTCAACACACAAGGAAATAAGACTCATAGAACAACAACTACAATGAAAAAAGTTCCCTATAACACATTCTAATAGCAACACTACATGCCTAAAAAAAAAACCCTGAAATTTAAAAACTATCAGATAAAAGCAAAACAAAATCACAGAAAGTTAAACCTATATCAACTACAGCTGATTTCTCAACAAACTTTAAAGCCTAATGCAATAGAATATGAATTATTCTCAGGAGCACATGGAACTTCTTTCAAGATAGATCATTTACTAGTCTACAAAGTCTGCGCAATTAAATATAAAAATTGAAATTACCCCATATTTACTACCAGACCACTGTTCAACAAAACTAGAAATCACTCACAAAAGAAACCACGCAAAATTTAGAAACACATGGAAACTTAACACATCATCAAACATATAATGAATCACTGAATAAATCAAAGAAGCAACTAAACAATTTCTGGAAGCAAATAACAAAGTCAGTACAATACAACACAACCTATGGGACACAATGAAGGCAGGCCTAAGAGGGAAGTGTACTGCAATCAATGCTCACATTAGAAAAACAAGAGTGAGCTAAAAAAAAAAAACCAAACAAAACAAAACAAAAAACCTAATGAGGAACCCGAAAATGCTTGAAAACAAAAACAATCTAAGCCCAAACCAAAATTAAGGAGTTAAATTATAAATGGCAGAGCAGAAATTAATGACACAAAATAATACAAATTTTCAACAAATTGAAGAGCTGGTTCTTACCAACTAAAAAAAAGTCCAGGGATATGCTGAATTCTCTAAAATTGTTAGGACATTATATTACCAGTACTCCTCAGACTCTTCAATGAAACTGAAAGGGAAAGAGTGCTTCCAACCCCTTTCTGGAAGCCAGCACCATGCTGAGCCCAAAGTCAGAAAATGATATAAATGAAAGAGAGAAATACAGGCCAATTTCCTTAATGAAAACAGACGCAAAATCCTCACTAAGATATTGGCAAATAGGACGCAGCAAATCCTCAAAGGGAGCAGCTGTCCTAGCCCTTGATCACTTCACATTTTCACTGGTACACCAAGTGGGAAAGTGACATGTACAAAAGCAGTTGGCCAGCAGGAGGAGTATTGTATCACTGATGCTGTTTACTTTTGCTTGATTTTATTATTGGTTTTTAAAGTCTGTAGCCAGTGGACTGCTTATTCTGTACAACCATGTGTACCTTCTACCTTCTGGTCTCCCAGACACAGCACAATACATTCTAGTTAATTATGACACATTTATCATTTGCAACCATTCTGTTTCTTTACAGTAAGTTTTTGAGTTTCTCCCTGACTGTGGTCTCAGCTCCATAACTCATGTTGTCTATGTAATCCTGGGACAAACACTGGTGCTTGTGTGGCTACATCACCAGATACACTCACCCATCTTGAGCCAGTTACAGGGATTGAGATTACCAGATGTACAGTGGTAGATTAACGTTGATTTAGGTCTGTGAATTGAAATAAAAATTAGATAAATACAACAATGGAAAAGTAATGAGAGAGCAATAAACATGAGAAAATAACAAGACAGACTGGTTTCAAAAATTCCCTTGACTAAAGCACTCTTAAGAAGTCCTGTCTTTTAACTTCTCTCAGTCAATACGCAAATGGAAAAACATTAGGAAAACACTGTGTGTAAAAGACATCAAACAAGTATGAGAGATGAGGAGCATGTAAATCTGAGCTCATATAAGGAAATTTTAATTCTGCTTATCACTTACTAGCAGAGCTAAATAAATGAGCAACCTATTTTTTTTCTCCTTCATATTAGGAAATTTTCCCATGCACAGTGACCTAAGCTTTTGGAATTTACCAAATACTGAGAAGTTCAATGAAATATAAAATATGCTATCATTTCATCAACTTTTATCATCTCCTTGCCTTAAAAAAAGAAGCTACAACATAAATTACTGAATAGAAAAGTATTTTGAGCATTGAGAATTTCATGGTTTCATGATTTTCAGAGTACACTATTTTATGATCAACCAAATACAAAGCAGTATTTATAGAAAAGTTCAATGCATATATAGCGGTATACTGGGTATACAACATTGAAAGCGAAACTTTATTATACTAGGGGTCTTCTACAATTTGAAAATGCATCTAACATATTTACCCCTTTCCTCATTAAATCTTTGAAAGACCACTTGCATCCATACCTGTGTACTGCAGTATACCAGCCTGCTGCTAAGGTGAGATTGATAACTGTATCTGCTGGGATTAAATCCGCAATGGCCAGTGGAGTAGCTTTGATGGACCGAAGAAACCCTTTCCCAGCCTGCACAGGAAAAAGAAAAGCTGTTGGTATAAATAGCTGACATCTGTTTGCCACTGCTTCCTAAGTTACTATATTATATGTTACTTTGCAGCCTATCTAACTTTCCTGGCCAACTTAATTACAAGTCATTGGGTTCCTTTAGGGAATAAAATTGCTCAAATTTATAAAAGTTAACATACTTAATTTAAAAAACCTTCTGCACAGTAAATGAAACAACCAAGAAAGTGAAAAGAAAACTACAGAATGGGGAAAAATTTTGGCCTGCTATTCTTCAGAGGACTAATATCTAGAATATATACATACTCAAAAATATTAAACCTCTCCCAAAATAAATGACCCAATCAAAAAATGGGTATGTGAAATGAATAGATACTTCTCCAAAGAAGTAAAAATCTTCAATAAATATGTGAAGAAATGCTCAATACTGCTAGCCATTAGAAAAACTCAAATTAAAATAACCCTGAGATTCCATCTTACTCAAAAAGAATGGCTACAATCAAGAAACCAAATAATAACCAGTGCTGGTGAGGCTGTGGGGAAAATGGGAATGTAAACTGGCTTAACCATTATGGAAATCAAAAAACTAAAACTGAAATTTACTTTCAACCTAGCTATTTCCCTTCTAGGTATCTTCCTGAAAGGGTTAAAGACATTGTATTACAGTGATCTGTACAAACCCATGTTATAGAAGCACAATTCATAATAGCTAAAGTGGCCTATATGCCCATCTACGGATGCATGGATAAAGAAAATGTGGTATTTACACATAACAGTGTACTACTGTGGCACAAGGAAAGATAAACTTGAGTCATGTGTAGGAAAATGAATGATTAACTTTGCAACCATAATGTTAAGTGAAATAAATCAGACACACAAGCTTAAATATTGCGTGGCTTCTCTTACATGAGAAACCCAAATTAAAAAATAAAATGTGAAATAAAAGCTGGATAGAAATCAGGGAGACAGATCTGTCTCAAATGGAATGGAGAATAAGAGAGGCAGGGAGGAGAGAGATGGGGTAGGGAAGAGGGGACCAGGAATACAGATGTGTCCTGTGCGTGCTCTGGCTCCACACGAGGAGTGAAGACACTCATACTGCAATCGTGTACTGAGGAGAAAAGAAGCACCAAGAAAAGATTTTCAGATCATAAAAAGTTAGTTTGTAACATATTTTAAGACTTCATGTTTCATGAATTTTTCTTACCATGTCATAAGTGACTCTGTTTTCTCCGAGTGCATCTAAGCTTATAAGCATTAAAAGATTGGGAAACATCTGAAAAAACAGTGATGGTACATCCTACTATTTAACAGAACAAAATTTGCTTGTGAACAAAAGCCACAATTATTTACTTTTTGTTCAGTATCGTAGTTCGCATCAAAGATCACTGATGTATATAGTATATAAAAATTGGGAATTATTTGTACTAATAATTTACAGACCTTAGGGAATATGTTAATTCTTTATACCTTGCATTTTTCCAGCATTCATTTGAAATTATTAATACTTTCTTACATTCCCAATTTTCCTCTTTGTAACTGACTCCCCCTTTTTTGAGAATAAAACATCAGTTTTTGGAAAATCCTAGAAAATTTGAATAAATGTGCAGCTTTGCAATATAATAAAAGCTGCTCTGGGCCCATGTTAAAATAACGATGTTCTAGGTAGTCAGATGTTTCCTGCCAGCTACGTGGAAGGTAGAAAGCTCAGAGGCAGATAAGGAACAGAAAGAGACAACCAGAAAATCAGGGGCAGAAGCAGTGCACTGTCATAGTTGACTTTCGTATTTGCTTTTTAATTCATGTTGAGCATAGTCTGCAGAGGAACAAAGAGAGCATGAAGATGCCTCATGCTTGTTTAGATAAGTGAGTTTCTATTTAGTGTCCTGAAATGTGAAGTCATTGTTCTTATCCTCAGCTCCTCCATGTGGACTGAGACGCACAGCCAGGTGATCTGGCCACAGGCGGATGGGTGTCAAGGGCAGGTGCTCCCTCCCTGATCAGGGAGGAAGGAGGAAAGACTGGTTCCTATAGACACCAACCTCCCCCTCAGAAAGATGTGCTGAGACTCTTTCCTGTGTCTGTGAAGAACTGGTAACGCTACACATTTCCCTCACCTGCAAACACTTACAGATGGCTACATCAGGAATTTGATCATCTCTGAGACTTTTACCACCTCCCCAGTTTGCTGCACTTATCCAAGCTACTAGTAAAATCAAGAAAGAGAAAATATCCCCATCTTGTGGTAACTAAAAGAAAATTCCTGACATTCGTTTTCCAAGCTGAAACGCCTTAACAGTAATTGATAGCACATTACCTGTTTTCCTGATAATAAAATTCTCACAGAAAAAAGGTAATTCTATCCTGTGTGCCTTTTCAGTCCACAAAGTTGAGATAAGCCTTTGTTATTAGAACAGTAACATTTGTGTTTAGATCAACAAGGTGGGTTAGCACTAAGAACGATGTTACTCTACTACATTTCAGGGAATTATTTCCCCGTTGTTATACATACCGCAATAATCATCCCACTGGGCCCATTAAGGTTATCAACCCAACCCTGAAAAGAAAAAGATATGTGTTTATTACATTTTTCAGAAAATCATCATGCAGTTTAACCTTAATAAATTTCACTTTGTCTTAATATTTATGATTTGCTAACCAATTCATCAAACATTTGTTCCATCTGAGCTTTGATTTTAAGCTCTCTCAAAACACTTAACACACAATTTACAGGAATTATTCAGTTTTTGAGAATTTTAACACAAGCAGGGTCTTATATGGAAAGTGGTGTCGGCCTGCTGGAGGTGTCAGAAAAAGATGATGTTCAGGGATACTTGGGGGGAATGTCTTAATGGGTTTGTTTCCTAAGCCCTAAGCAAATCTGTTTCTTTATCTATAAAAATCAAAATGTGTATGTACAGTGGGAGTGCAGAGAAGATAAAGGGTCTAGTATTTGTTGATCCTGTTACTAGGGGCCATGCCCTTTAAATACTACTCAAACACAGTCTCCTCTAATCAACTGTCCAAAGTTAAGTTGTGCCAGTCCAGAGTCACAGATGATGTGATTTAGAAGACTGCAGACAGGGATCTGGCTTATCCAGCCCTGGAGCTTCAGAGTTGCCTTGGAAGAGATGATGTAAATCCAAGAACCTTTTAGAAGGTAAGAGCAGTATATATAGGTAAAAATTTATTATTCCTAACCTGAGAAGCTATGAGATTTGTGATTCCTGCTTATCCTGGCAGCTGTTATACTAGTACTTTATTGTTACTATACTAGTAACAATAAAGAGTATTGTTACTAGTATAGTAACAATAAAGAGTATTCCAGTATATTTAAATGATAGAAACTCAAGTAATGAAATTATCTTTCATGGGAATTTTGGGACTAGTTAGTAGTATTTAAGAACACTCAACTCTAGGACATTCAGCATAACCCCCAAAGGAGGCTTATGCTGGGTACAGTCTGAATGAAACATTGACTTTTGCCATCATATAATGGATTCTTTTTTGATTTGTTACACTCAGCTATGAATTCCAAGAAGCCCCCAAGGGGGCTGGGAGGTGTCAAAAAGAAATGGAGTCAGAAGGGTCTGGTTTGCAAGCGAAGCAGGGAACACACAAGAGCAGGCGTACTGGGAAGGGTTCCTGCCAGGTGGCCCCCACGATGGAGGGCCTGATGATGGCAACATTCATGTTCGCGCCTTCCTGCTGCACCACGATCTCTCCCAGGGCCTTGGTGTAGGTGTAGGTGTTGGGCCGGTCCCCAATCAGCTTGGGAGTGATCTCATCAATGATTGCATCATCCAACCACCTGAAGGCAGAGAAAACGAGCTCTAGAGACTTATTGTACAACAGAACACAAAGCAAAATTGAGACACACAGCTTTCACCCTCTAGCACACAGTCACAGGTTACCAAAGGTGAGTGAGTGCATACCTGTCTAAGTCATCATGATGCAGGGGCTCTGTGCTGTCTTCCACAAGCCCATTTAATCAAATCCTACTTCCTCCCACCACATTAGATAGATAGGTAGGACAGATAAATAACAGATGATAGATGGATGGATGAATAGATCATAGAGAGACGATAGATGAATACATAGATGATGGATAAATAGATAATTGCTAGATGATAGATGAGACAGAGAAGGATAATGGATGATAGATGATAAGTATATGACAGATGAAACAGATGATACAGAAATAATAGATGATAGATGACAAATGACAGATGATAGAAACGTTATGATGGATAGATGACAGTAGATGATACATGGATGACAGATAAATGAAAAATGACAGATACAGATACATGATATGCAGATAATAGATTGATAGAAGATTGATAGATACATGATAGAGGATAAATGGTAGATGATAGCAGAGATATATGATAGACATGATAGATACATGATAATAGGTTGATAGATGGTAAAATATAGATGACAGAAGATAGCAATAGATAGGTGTGACTGATAGATGACAGATAGTTGGAGAGAAAGATAGATAGCTTTAACAGCTGTACAACCTGCTACTTCCAATATATAACCTCTAATTATCCCTTCTCTGATGGGTTCATAAAAGCTCGTGTTGCACACAGACTTGAGCACCATGATGGTACTTAAGTGTGTGGCAGGTGCAGCCCATGGTTCTGAGGTCCCCCATTTATGGTGCCTCCACAGCAGCCCCACACACTCAGGGTAGAGGTTCTGTGAAAACCTAGTATGCTGATCCTGAAGGTGAGAGGTGTTCATTTGTAACATTTCTCTCATGCCTTTAAAAACAGAATAATTATGGCAGAGTTGTAATCTGGTTAAGCAAACCTATGAAATGTATTTTGAAGGTTTGTTTGGAGTCAAAGATAATAGCCAGTGATTATTTTCAGAGATTTGCAGGGAGCTCTGCAGTCTACATGGAGGGGCATCACTGTGAAAAACACTGTCAGCACCAGCCACATATTTCAAAAAACATGTCACAACCATTTTGACCATCCCAAGTCTCTCTAAACTTTTTTAAAAGGCAACTAATTACTGTCAGTTAAATACATAATGTTTATCTTTTTTTTTTTTTTTTTTTGTCTTTTTCCTTTTTATCGGTACCGGGGACCGAACTCACGACCACCTGCTTGCAAGGCAGATGCTTATGCCGCTGAGCTAAACCTCCTGCCCCCCATAATGTTTATCTTAGCCAACAGATTTATTTGGTTAAATGGTGGGTATAATGCAGCTTTTAAAACATAATTAAGCTGCCTGAATGTGTTCGTATGATTTTTATTACTAATGTGCTTGACACGTTTCCTCCTCCTGTGGGACAGAACATAATCATACTATTTTGACTGTGAAAAATTTTAGCTTGTCACTGCTTTGCTGCTGTGACAAATGCTGAGCACTAAAGGTGCATTTGATGCTAACACCCAGAATTGTCACTCCCAATTGCAATCTCTCATGTGATACTGAGGTAGAACATAAAGACTGGCTATAGTTTTTCTTGCTTTGGTTGTGTTAGTGCTGAGTATAATCTGGATACTCAGATGCCTCTTAGATTGAATAGAGAACAGTTAGAAAGTTTCTATAATTAAAAACCTAGGGTTGTTTGTGAGACACAGCTGGGGAATGAAGGACCTAGCAGAGGGCCTCACTGTGGGTGAACTCACAGCTCATAGCTCTTTCTGGATGATCTCTCAGGACTTTTCCTGCCTCTGACTGCACCGTGACCTGCTGGGTCCTAGGGGCCCACAGCGCAGCAGGGTGTGGGAACTCGGCCAGGTCTGCAGTCAAAAGCTCTGTTCCTCTGTGGGGCATCTCCAGCCTGTGGACAACACACTCGCAAGGGACAGCACAGGCAGAGTGCAGCCAGCAGACTCGCAGACTCACTCCGCTGTGAAAATGTGTGGGACATTTATAGACTCTGGGCATTGTTTCTCCTCTGCTTTCTCTCCAGACAAATCAAGGCTCTGAAATGTTCCTGGCACCAATTAAGTGAAGCCTCAGTTATTAGCAACTCCAAGTCACTCCAGATCCTTTAAATGACTTTCATTCCTCTGTCCTAGATATTTTTAAATGACAGGTTAAAAAAAAAATCTATTCTCAGAGCTGGAGGAGATAATACTATTTGTCCTGAAGGGAACAAAGTCTTCATTTAGCTAAAGCCTCATAAAGAGGATATTTTAAATATAAACACAGTATTGTGTGACATTACAATGTGACAAATTCACTCTAAATGAAGTACCTATTTTTTCCTGCTATTGTATTTTTATGTAGCTTAAATAAGATACATGGTAAAGTTAGTAAAATAACTAGAAGAGTAAAGAAACAGAAATGTATTTATTTTGAGACCAGAGCCACATCCCAAGGACATGGGAAGAAGAAATGCAAGAGACCTCATGGTCCGAGAGTGAGGAGAATACATTTCAGCTGAGTATCCATTTCAACCACTGCCTTCTGCCGGATGTTAAGGGTGCTGCTATCCCTAACAGTTCTCCTTTACTAACCAGGGGTCAGCTGCTTGTAAATATAAATGTATCATCACTACTACTCAGTCCATCTTGACAAGGATGTGAATGAGGTTCAGAGAGGCCGAAGAACTCACTCCAACTCCTGCAGCGAGTAAGCTGTGGAGCCACAGGCTGAAGCCGTCTTTCTCTGATGCCAACCTTTTTCTCATGAAATTTTACACTCTGCATTATGCTTCCTTTATCCTAGGATAATGCCAAGTTCACTAAGAAGGGTGCAACTGTGTCTAAGAATCCAAGAGAACAGCTGCTGGCCCATCCCTTAGCCCTACTCACTCCATGGAGTCAATGATTTTCTTCGGCTCCACAGAACACGGGTAGATCACTTCATCTATGTGCTGCAGGTTGCAGTTAGAAAAGGCCGTGGAGAGGTGTATGAAGGCTTCGAGCTTGGGCATCTGGCTGGCCATAAACAGTAGCTGCTGAGTAGCAGTGACATTCAGCTGCACGGCGTGTCTGCAAAGTGAGCAGGGGGCACCGTGAGGGAGCATGCCAGAAACTGCCTTGACCCTTTGGACTCGGGCACTGGCCTTGAAGAGCAAAGAAAAGGATAGGCCCTGGCGCCCTAGTGGCAGGATACTTGCAGTTATTACATGTGGATAAGTTTTGTGGACAGAAACCATAAGGAATCTCACACTTGTGCACACACATGCAAGCTGTGAGAAGGTACCCAAAAATTACCTCAGAGGGTCATCAAATCGTACGGTGGCTGCACAGTGGAAGATAACGTTGGTGGAAGACAGAAGCTCCTCCATGTCTTCCTTGCTGATGCCAAAGTCATGCTGATTGAGATCTGCACTAATAGGTCTGATCTTCTCGTGCACATCTGGGCAAATTTCTTTGACTTTCTCAAACAGCTGAAACATAAACAGGAATCAGTACCGAAAATGGCCACTGCCACTTTGTTCCAAGTGCACTGCTTTGTCTCACAGCACTCTTCAGAAACCAGTTTGAGTTGTGAGGCTGATACCATCCCAGAAGGGGTCCACCTGCTCAGGAGCCTCTGCTGCATTCCCAGTGGGTCAGCCAGGTTAGTATAACTCCTGCCTCTCTCAACTTGAGAAACAGCTTAAACAGTCCATTTTAGAAACCAGCAAGGGGTTTATGATTAGTTTTTCTGAGGGGTAAAGCAGTGATAGTCGCCCACATCCTGACCTGATCCTCCTTCCTTTCACTTTTAAGACAACCTCATATTTACACATGGAGGGGAATGCTTCCAATTTGGGGTGGCCAGTTATTGTTTTCAATGTGAAATTACGAGCCTTTACAAATCACTAGCAAAATTACCAACCACTTGATTAACTGACTCAGGTCAACAAGATGCTTTAGCAGTGCAAACATAACTAGAAATAAAGAATCAAGCCAACTTGTAAATGGATAAAATAAAAACTTTGTATAATCTCATTCTAATAGAAATGGCAGTTTATGTTCATTATGAGAATTACATGAACAATGTGTTTTTGTGGGATCTTAACTGACTTTTTTAATATTCTTATTTATATATAAAGGGAAAAGAGAACATGTTGAGTCTGCCTTTTCTTCCGTGCAGAGATTCTTACATTAAATTGATATTTTTCCATTTTCTTAGAAAACATAGCTTTAATAGAACTTGTCTTGTTTCTAGCCTATTTTGATAAGATTTTATTGCAGCATATTAACATTTATATTTAGAGAGTTTAAGAGCAGGGAAATTTAGTCTGTGGTTTAAAACATAAAATAGCCACAATCAAGAAGCCCTGTTATCCCCTGAACCCCAAATCATGCTTTCAAATTCTGTCTTGACTCTCAGCAGCAGGCTTCTTCCCTCCACTAAGCAGCCAGCTACCTCTATACTTTGTTTTGTTTTGTGAATAATGTAAAGCTGAGTCATGTCAGCAGAGAAGTCATGTTCTATTTGCACCAGGCAAGATTTTGTTCAAAGGCCTCTGGGAACACTGTGAAGAGGACTGGGGACGGGAATCAGATTCACAAGGCAGCTGGGGAAATCAACACAATTCTGTTTCTAAGCTACTATTTTTATGCATTATTAGGTCAGCCCTTTCTGTGGGTATTACTGCAATTCTGAAAATAACTTAGAAGTTAGGTCAGTCCTCAATGCTTTTTTGACGCCTGGAACTGATAAGGTAGACACAGTGTCTTAGGTGGGGGCTCAACAGAGGTCCTTCTGGCTCTTCTACAACCATTCGTTTTAGGAGCAGCTGGCGGAGCTAGTGATCATTCATGTGCAGAGCTGAGAGCACAAAGTGCTCAAGGAAGGCCCCGAGGACATGGGATACCCCAGGCAAACAGGTGTTGCGGCCCTGAGAACATGAGGTATGAGAGACAAGCTAGTTCAGCCAAGGCGGTAACACATGAAAAATGGATAAATAAACTCACTGCAGTGGTTGAGAAGTTCCTTTCCTACCATTAGGAGAAGGTTCCACTTGACCTCAGCCTTCTGTGTATGATCTCTTATCTCTATCTCTCCATCCTTTCACCATCTTTTCCCACAAGACCACTGAGAGCTGTTCAGGACACCCAAACACTGAGATTGCAGGACACCCAAACAGGGACCAGGTTAAGAAGAAATTGTGAGTGAGCAGACACTTCTCAATATGTGCACAAAAGTGGGGAGAAGTGTATTGATATTATCAGTATCAATCATAGAGGTATATGGATATTAATATCATCAGATGTAAAGCATGGGGCAAATAGTTCTCAACATGTACAAAGAAATGATGTATAAAACGTGTTTGTTGTACTATTGTTTTTTCTTCTTCTTCTTTTTTTTTTTTTTTTGTATTTTTACTGGTACCAGGGATCGAACTCACAACCACACGCTTGCAAGGCAGGCGCTTATGCTGCTGAGCTAAATCCCCAGCTCCTGTTGTACTACTGATTCCTGTATTTACTTTTGTTTTGTGGAGAAACCAAGACAGAAATGGGCTCCAGAGAAGCCAAAGTCAGCAACAGGCTCAGTAGGGTTAAAGAGAAAAAGAGGCTCAGGAGAAACAATAGGGACAGAGGTGTAATTATTTTATCAGGTGCTAAAAATGAAGCAAGTAAATTCTCAAGCATAACAAGTGTACATACGAATACTCAGTCTATTATGGATTCCTGTGCTTACCTTTCTTTTTGTGAACTTGGATTAGGGAGTGTCTTAATGGTTATACAGTTGTTGATACAACCACAGAGGGTTTGGTTTGGAGCATTATTTTAAAATCAAGTCCCAAGCAGGAGAAAAAAACAAAACAAAACAAAAAGGAAGCCTTGGCTGCTGAGGCAGCAGACTATTGCATGCCCTGGGGAAAGGACATGCTGGAGATGGAGCCTGGGCAACTAGGTGCCTTAATACAGGATATGAGTTTTTCTTTTGAACTTAAGACTGACAATGGCCCAGCTATATGAGTGCTGCCTTCTAAACCTTTTGTAAAACTTTTCAGTTTCTCTTATCATGTGAATTTCCTGTAACTCTCAAGGTCAAGGAATTGTTGAATGTGTTCACTGTATACTCAAAAGTCAGTTACAAAAACAAAAGGCGAAATCTTTCCCTACAAAATTTACAGCTCACAATAGACTTTACTTGGAAGTAAATACCATTAACTATTTTTTTTTGTCTTTTTCATTTTTTATCGGTACCGAGGATCGAACTCACGACCACCTGCTTGCAAGGCAGGTGCTTATGCCGCTGAGCTAAACCCCTAGCCCCCAATACCATTAACTTTTAAATCCAATTAGGGACAGGACTACAGCAGCAGAAAGACTATCCAATCAGGTAAAGGAAAAGAAGCTAGGAAGGGGCCTTTAGAAAGATCTTCATACTTGATAATGGAAGGGACGCAGTCCACTATGCACTTGGGTACAGGGCATGTTTGTTTATGTTTTCCCAGGGAATGCTGACTGGCCTATGTGGGTGCCAGAGTGTGCTGTCCAGCTGTATCATAAACCCAGATTCAGAGAATGAATTGATTCCACCTTTCAAGAAGCTGATGCTCAGTCCTATGGCAGTCATGCCTCAGAGGCCAGACCACACTCAACAGTCAAGGATGGGGCCAGACTTCACCTGTGGCCAATTAAATGATTTGACTCGGGATGCTGAGATGTCAATCAAAAATAGGAATCAAAGATCTGAGTAGGTGACCAAGTTGTGTAGAGATAACTGGACAGAACGGACACAAAATTTATTAGTATCCTTAAGAAAAAATAAAATGCAAAAATATATATTAATTATAGATAAAAGGTTTTGTCTCTTTCAAATTATTCTTTTAAGAGATCTCTGCTAATTGACCTACAAAAAGTTTGATTAGTTTATTTATAGTTATAAATTCCTAAGATTGTAAAAGAGTTACTATAATTCAATTTGATCAAAAATGTATTTGAATGCACTCTGAATTCATAAGATGTCTATTTGTCTAGTCTGTTCAGCTGTGTACTTATTTCTTGGTCTGTCATAACCATGAAGAACTGTTTTGATTTGAGCTCAACAATTTTTTCTCTTTTATTTTTCTTTTGCATCTTTTGGATCATTTGTTCAAAATTTAATTTGGGATATAGATTTAAAAGCATGCTTCCACCTGGATGGCCAGCTGGTCAATTTAATATCAAAATACATCTTTTCAGAGATCATCAGAAATTTGTTAAGGTAACTAAGAGGACCTTTTAGAGTTGGAAAATTATTGCTTAAAGTTCCCTTTGATGAATAAAGGAGCAGCTGCCTGGGAAAAATTATCCCAGCCTTTGTTCATTAATAGGAAGCTGCAGTGATCATCATGGCCTTAAGAGAGACACCTCAATAAATGCTATTAAAATATATTACTGTAAAATGTTTATGTTACTCATTTGTTAAAGGATTAAGTTTTATAGACAATAGGGTTTTTGATTTAAAGGTGTTCCTTTACAAAGATTTTCATATGGCTATGATATTGTTTTTGTAGAATATTAAATGTATTCATGCCTGGAGATGTGTGGGTCTTCTGAAGTGTGGAATAAGGACTGTTTATAGTGATAAGACTTTTCTTGCAGATTCAGACATCTGCTTTTAACAAAACTTATGTGATATACATCCATCAAAGGATAGCAAGTAGTTAAAAAGCTTATATGTTAGATAGAGATGACTGATTAAAAAGTTATGTCAAATTGAAAATTTAAGTGTATTACAAAATGTCATTGTGATTGTCATGATACAATATTATGTATGGTTTTTGATCTCAAATTTTCTGTGTAACATGCTATCTGTTACTATTCTATAGGAATTTAAATATTAGGACATCCATGGTTGGTAGAAATTAATGGTTTCGTCTTGTGTAAGATTAAGCTCACTGCTCCCATTACAATGTGATGTATTCTCTTCTGGATGTTTAACAACTGAGGTGGGAGACCAAAAAACTAAAAAAGATAAAATGAGCTAATAAGATACCCAATATTTTGGCCCCAACCCTTTCAGGTTGGTGAGGACCCATGATACAAGAGAACCTCTGCTGTGGCATCCTATAACTTGGTGAGTCCCTGGTCTTCTGACCAAGGAGATTATAGGACTGCAGAGGAAAGTGATCAGCTATGTGTAAATGTGCTTAAGGAGAGTCACCAGGAGAAGAAAATCTTCCCAAGCTTTCATAGAAAGCAACCCGGTCTATCAATGGCTGTGACTCATCCAGACAGCTGACACGGACAGAAGTACTAAGAGGTACATGGTTCCAGGTAATTCCTAAGGAGACTTAACTGACCTTAACAGATAGCAACAAATTAATTTCAGTTAATACAGGTCTCAATCTGACATGGTCTTAGCTATCCAGCAGAAAAGTATAACTGTAAGAAAGTTGTCTGCAGAGTTCTCAAAACACAGCTCCTCCAACTTCAACTAAACACTTATTGATTGCAA